AATATAATTATTAATGTCTGCGAATTTAAACTGTATCCAGAATCGTGGACATCCAGTAGGAAAATGTGGATTTCAAGGAAGATAAAAATAAATTTCTCCGTCTTGAATTAGACCGTATTGCATTGTCAGTTTAGTAGAAGCGTTTAGGAGTGTTGACAGAAGTTATGGCGGGACTGTGTGCGTGGAAACGCCGCCGACAAAAGGCCCGAAGTGTACACCTATTATTCGTACACGGCGCAACGACGCGTTACGTAACCCGACTGGCACAATTACTGGCTGGTAGACAACGTTATGGTTACCGTATATGGGAAACAGACTCGTGACACAAATCTCGATTACGCTCGTGTACGACGAAGTTACTCGCCTTACCTTCGCGCCTTACACCGCCGCGTGTCGTCCGCTTGGAAAACGCACGAGCGTGCTTCAGGTTCGCGAAACAAGGTGAAATTCAATCCTCCGCTTCTGACGAGAATAAACGACGCACCGATGCATCGATTTCTCTAGAATCTTCTACCTAATCTAGGATGACCGGCTAAACATACAATCAGGACACTGGTTGCTACGACCCAGAGTAGGACAAATTTTATTCACGAATAACAAATAAAAATTTTAGATCCATTCCAAATATGTACGTTTCGTTCATAAATTTGTAAATTAGAGTTTATCGATGATTTTTTTAATCAGTATTCAGACGTGGAAAAAGTTGATTTACGAGCGAATCTGACATTTTTATTCGTTATTCGAGAATAAAATGGCGGATAACTGGTACAAATTTTACATCTATTCTATGCACGTTTCGTTCGTAAATTCGTTTGTAAATCAGAGTTTATTGATAATTTGTTTTAAATAGTATTTGGACGAACAAAGCTGTGGGCAAAGCTAATTTACTAATATTTTTATTCGTTATTTGAGAATAAAATTTGTCCAGCTCTGGCGACAACTAAAAAGAAAATTTAACGAGTAAGTCTGGGTTTTTAAAAATATATAGCTTTTTCTTAAAATAGTTAGTATTTGAACGAAGTCAATTAAACAGTTTATTTGCATTTCCCTAATTCAGGATGAGAAATACCCAAATACTATATTTCTGATTCATGTAGTAGTTAAAAATTTAAAAATGAGAACTAATAAAATTCCTTTTATAGAAAAGAGTTGCTCTACTGGGATAATTCTAGCTGACCTTTTTTTGGTTTTAAGGGCTCAGTTTTCTTACAAAGTAAAATATGCTTCATTGACCATACAAATGCAAGCTAAACACTTCAAGCGTAATTTAATATAACAAATGTCTAATTTATTCAAATTGTATAGACAGTGGGTTTTCGTGTAGGTAAAATGTGTCAAAATACTCAATCAATACGTAGAAAATACGTCGAAAAATTCAATTTATTTTCCAGTTCTATGATTTTTCTAATGTGTCGTTCTGAGCGTGCAGAATTCTCGATAAAAGTCGAATTCCTCGTCACGCGAGCTGCATTTCCAAACGAATTTTCTCACGTGCGTCGACACGAGCGCAATTAACGCGCTATTGTTATGGTTTTCCTCGGCTCATGTGCATTGATTACCTATTTATTGCGTCGTTTCACTATTTGCACCTTCAATTAATATGCTACTTACGATCTTATAATTCCATTCCGAACGGCGTTGCGTTCCAGCAAGATTTTATCTTCATAAGTTTCAAACATACATATTTTCAATCCATCATAAAAATAATAATAAGAAAAATTGTCTAGCTAGTGAATTTAATTATAAATTATATGGTTTACGAGGCAGTCTAATAGTTGGGTGGTAAACTGCGGTTTATCATGTTTTCTTGTACAGGAAAGAATACTTGGGTCGGAATGAAAATTATTACTCATATATGTACGTAGCTCTCTTTGTGTAGTTTAAGAATATATATCTTGTTTTCTCGAACAGTAATCTTCTTTGTCTTCTTTATAAATATAGTTGCGAAGTTTTATCGCATTCGAGTTTCATGAATAATTTATTTTTTCATTTGTTGATTATTTCACTCACGATAAGACGGATCGTTCTTATTTCCCCGACGTTGGCAAGAACGCGAATGAAAATTGCAGAATTTTGAAATTGAACACGATTAGGAAACGTAAGACCTTGGCGTCAAATTAACACTGCGTTTCTTGTCGGACGAAATTATCCGCACGACATTGTTCGTTAGGATAAATTAAGTTTGGCTTAATGGGGCAGTTTAACACATATGTATCATTTTTCTTTATTCTATATAAGGAAATTCGGTAGTTATATAAAGTTAAATAAAATAAAACTTTAAAAATAAGTTGAATAAAATTTTCTTTAGGTTTTGCTAACAAATTTTGCATGAAGTTTGTACAAATGTCTGTATTCTGAGTAATAAATAAAACTCTGAAACTTGCTTTTTACTTTCTAAACACATATCAAACATAAATTGAAGATTAAAGTTCGAGAAAAAAGTACATAAATAGGGAATCTGTATATCTAAATCATCATGTCCCAATCTATTTTGGGTCGTGGAATTTTATGAATGAACTAGCTTTTGCCCGCGGCTTCGCTCGCACAGGAAACCGTTTAGTTCCCTCGGAAATAGATATTGTTTCTCCATTAAACCTTTTAAGCCCCCATTCACCTCTATAGAGTTTTAATTTTATGTCATGTCGTCATCTTACATTTCAAAATTGATACCATTTTCGTAATTAACGTCCCAAAAAACCTTCATAACGACACCCATACCGATATTTAGGCGTATTTACACCATTGCAACAGTTTAGTGATACGATAATAATTACGTATTTACATGTTAAATTTGAAGTTTCTAGATCCACTTACTGAAATAAGGCAACTTTAATGCGAAATAAGTGTATCAATGAGCATTCAGACCAAGTATCAGATAAATTCGACAACGAACAAAATATGTCCTATACAAACGTTGCAACCCCCTTTCATCCCTCCAGGGGTAGAATTTTTTAAAATGCCGAAACAGGTGTTTGATTAATTATGTCAAAGAGCACTCAGATCAAGTTTCAAGTAAATCCGACCACAAATAAAATACTCCTCATACAAACGTTGCAACCCCTTTCCACCCCCTTAGGGATTGAATTTCGGAGTATCCTTTCTTATTTCTTGTATACATTATAAAGGAAACCTCTGTGCAAAACTTCAGCATTTTATGCCCAAGGGCTTAGCCTGGGCGTTGATGAGTCAGTGAGTCAGGCCTTTCATTTTATATATTATTATATTATATTATTATAAGATAGATAATTCTGATATAATATAAATCGCAATAAGCGATCCGAATCTCTACATTTGTAAAAATAATATTGAACACGGATCCATGAAACGCGAAGACACGGATGGTTAGAAAGCAATGCTCGATTCCTCGATCTCCTCTGCATTCGTTATCAGCGTTGTTTCGCAAAGGATGCTCGCGATAATGGCGGAGCGTCATTGACCGCTTGTCGTTCGCTCGAAACACTTATTCGCCTCGATTTCCATAGTTTCCCCGCGGAGGAAGTTGACCGTTGAAAAAAAGAAAAAAGATTCCCTCGCGGAATCTCGACGTGTGTGCGCTTGCTGGATAAAACATGCGCTCGTGATCCGGATGGAGTGTTCCCTCTAACCATAAATTAAAACTCCGTCATTGTTTCTTGCGGCTCTACGTACCAAGATATCGAGATAGGGAAATTCGACCAGCAATTAAATTTACATTTTAAACGCAGTTCCGGGATCGCTATTAAACTCGACGATCGATTAATTACACGCTCTGTAATTATTTGCGTTACGAATGGAGACAATTTAATAACTCCGAAGGTCCAAGAACAGTTCTCGTCACTCTTTTTCAATCTTAAAACACTTCGTAAATATTTAACTCACGTCCAGTAGTCTTTAATGTTAGGACGCCATTTTGGATTCGACACAAAACTATTTCTTTGAGAGTCTTTAGTCTTTGATAGAAAAATTAATAGAGAATTTATTAAGGGGGTATTCTAGACTGTCATTTTATCAGTGTTTGTGATTTTTTTTTTAATGATAGGTAGGCTATTTTGTACTGAGATTTTGCAGATATATTTATTCATCTTACCAGCATGTACAGTATTTTTTCATCAAAAATTATTACAAATTATGGGAGTTATAACTTCTCGTTTAAATATGTTTTTTAAAAACTGGCTTCCATGATATTTCAAGATCTAGCAGACCGATTGACTTCAAATTTGGAGAGAATATTCAGCAGGCACGCCTTTATAGCTGTAATTAGAGATTTTTTAAAATATTGAGTTTTACTATTTTTTTTTAATATGCTGAAGACAAAAGAAAGGTTAAAAAATAGAAATTCGAAACTTGAAGTGCTGTCATTCCTTTATTTATTGAAATTTTTACTTCTCCCTGGTTTCTGCTATAACTACACCCTTCCTGATGAAGATGCTTTAGTACCCTCCGTTTCTGATTAGCGGATCAGTAGAACACCATTTTCAGAAGAGTCATTACACAAGAAGTTATAACTCCCACAATTTTTAATATTTTGTGGTGAAAAAATACTGTACATGCTTATAAGACGAATAAATATATCTGCAAAATTTTAGTAAAAAATAGCCTATCTACCAATAAGAAAAAAATCATACTGAAGGCTGAAAAAATAACAGTCTAGACAGTAATACCCTCTTAATTCGGACAATATCTTCCTTCGTCCAAATCTTAAAACACTTTGTAAACATTTAACTCAAATTCAGCAGTCTCCAGAATTTGGATGCCATTTTGGATACGATGTAAGCTATTTCTTTCAGATTCTTTGGTTTTTGATAGAAACAGACTAGTAATACACTTGTAAAATTAACAAAAAATTTACGAATGGGTTATCCTTGAATCTGGAACGAGAAACATTAAATTTAAAACGGTCGTTAAAATCATTCAGTATAATATTTTGTGTAGTTATGCTTTGGACGTGGATGTGGAAGTTGATCGGTTCTGAAAACTAAATAGAAAATTTGGTTAATCGATGCGACTGATTCGTGTTTTAGACACATACCAAAGGCGAAAGCGACGACGATGGCGGAGACGCCGGAGCTGAAGCGTATCGCCGAGAACACGAAGATCCAGAGCAACGTGAAATATCACGCGGAGTTCGAGAAGGCGAAGGGTAAGTTCACCCAGGTGGCAGACGACCCGGAGACGCTCAGAATCAAGCAAAACAGCAAGATCATCTCGAACGTCGCCTACCACGGCGAGCTCCAGAAGAAGGCGATCATGGAGCAGAAAAGGACGATGACCGGCGAGAACGGCGAACAAATTGGTGAGTCAAACTTTCATCGACTCTCTCATCCCGCCATCTTTTCTGTGAATATGTCGTTTCTAATTTTTCTATCCATCTGGGTCAACGGGAAACACATTTTCTGTCTTGACTCTTTCATCGATCCGGTAATATACCAAATGGCAAATGTCTTGCTAGCGCTTTTTTTTAGCTCGCGGGGTATCGTGGAAATTGTGATATAAGCGTATTCGGTGTGCCCTCGACTTATCCTCAAAAATTAAAATTCATTTTAACCTTTCCGTTTTGTGATCTGTGATTTTAATATAATTTTAAAGTCGATCATATGTTGCCACATGTGTGTTATGTATACGTTATTGCGATCGTGCTTAACATGTTTTATATACAGAACATTTAGAATTGGTCCAGAGCTGGTTTAAAAGAATCAGTCACCCTAAAATCAGGTCTAACTTTCAAGTTTTAATTTTGTTTTTCGTACTATGTATTGCAGGGTGAAAGAAACATCGGTTGGGTTAACAAAAACGCCATCTGTAAACATTCTGATTACATCGTACTATTTTTCGTAAAAAACCCTGAAATTTTTTGGACTATCGTTTTCTTCTTGCTTCACTCGTTTTCGAGCTATTCGATTAAATAGATTTGCAACCCACAAGGAGTAATTTCTTTCTTATAGAAACGAAAAAATAAGGGTCGCATAGTTTTAGATACTCTATGAATATACCGAATTCCTATGTCGAATAATTGTTGCTTAGTCGTAAGGTTTTCGAATTAAAAGAGTTTAACCCAACAGAACTAGAAATTTCTTTCTGATTTTTCTTTCCTTTCGCAATACAGTTTATATTTATAAAGAGGTAAATTGTATTTCCTACGTGAATAAATATGCGCGTAAAAATGAGTATAGAAGGGCAAACGATGGGGGTGCAATGGCGCGAGGACCATTTTGCTATTTAAACTGCGTTAAGTTTAAATTTACGAGTTCGAAATTACTTTTTGTGAAAAAGAAATTCGAGACGAGGAGTATACCCGACAGCATCTGGACCTACTTTCTTACGAAGAATTATCTTGTATCACGATTTTTGCAGTACTTTGTGTGTTTTCATTAACCATTCTATCGAGAACGCGTGCATGTTCCTCGCGGAGAAAGTAATTACACGCGAGTAATCGAAGCAAGGTAAAATTAGGGTTGTGCTAAAAGCGTTACACGGTTTGACATATTGCTAGAAATATCCTAAATTGCAAGATGTAGGCTGAGATAACAACAATAGAAAATAACAGCTTCAATCTTGATGCTTTGTGCACCATTCGTGTATAATGGACCAAGTTTATTTTTCCTAAGACGAAATAACAACTTCAATTTACAATATATTACGTAATACCTGTAACTGTGAATTTCTTTTCAATTTTACTAGCATGTTCATCCTATCGCTTAATTTACTTTTCTTTGGTACAACAATAATAAGCAATCTTCTGACTTACAGTGCAGTAATGTAAATAGTTATTCCACTTGAATTTTCTTACTTCACAGCTATCCCATCGAAGATTTTGATAATATTTACAGTGGCGAATCTAGTGACTAAATGATGATATTCCTTAGTCCTTCCAATGTCCATTTCCTTGTAGACATTACAAATTTTAAATAAAGACAGTGTGTAAGGTGAAATATTTCACACAGAAGTGTCTTTGAGCTGAATTTCTACTTTTATAAATCCATATTCTATATTTAAATTACACATATAATATTAGTAATTTGATATACCTAGTAAAATGTAATTCCTAATTCCTATATTTGAATGCGTTTTAATCCGTGATATACAGGGTGTTCGGCCACCCCTGGGAAAAATTTTAATGGGAGATTCTAGAGACCACAATAACGCGAAAATCAAGAATATCAATTTCTTGACTGAGGCTTCGTTAAAAAGTTATTACAAAATTAAATTAGAAAATTTCACATCTTTCTAAAAAAATTATTTTTGGTTGCAAGGGTCAATTACAATCATTTTTTGTGAATACGCATACCTCCGAAATCCTACCCACTTTCCAGAAAAACATTCGGGTAGGTGCTGAAATTTTTCGGCGAAGAAAACATTTTTCAAATCGTTCTAAAAAAAATTATTTTCGGTTGCAGGAGTCGATTACAATCATTGTTGGTCATTACACACTCCCGAAATCCTACGCATTTTCGAGAAAAAAATTCCTTACTGAAAATATAACTTCAGGCCCAGATGCTACTCTGAAATTTTATGCGTATCTTTAAAACGTCATAACTTCTGAACGGATTGGAGGATTTTAATGTTTTAAACGGCAAACAACGCGTATTTTGACGAAGAATATGTAGAAATTCTAACTTGTGTCGTATAACTCGTAACTGGTATCTATAATTTACTACATACAAAAGGTATACTTAATTTTTATTTTATATCAATCCATATAATCTACCCTACCTAATATGTACCTTATTACAATTCAATCTCTGTACAGGGTGTTCGGCCACCCATGGGAAAAATTTTAACGGGAGATTCTAGAGGCCAAAATAAGACGAAAATCAAGAATATCAATTTATTGATGGAGGCTTCGGTAAAAAGTTATTAACGTTTAAAGTTCCACACGTACTGAATTTTTTTCTCGAAAATGCGCAGGATTTTGGGATTTGAATTTTTGTTTTCCGTCGAAAAATTTCACACCTTCTCGATTTTTTTTCTAGAAAGTGGATAGGATATCGGGGGTATGTCTATTCACAAAAAATGATTGTAATTGACCCCCGCAACCGAAAATAATTTTTCCAGAACGATTCGAAATTTTTTAATTTAATTGTTAATAACTTTTTAACGAAGCCTCCATCAACAAATTGGTATTCTTGATTTTCGTCTTATTTTGGCCTCTAGAATCCCCCATTAAAATTTTTCCCACGGGTGGCCGTACACCCTGTATATGTACATAATTAATTTTATAGTAAAGTATTAATCATAAAAAAAACCTGTCCATTGAAACTAAAATATTCCAAGAGATTCCCTCCCCAGTATTTGCGTCTCTAAATGTCACCGAGATCTGGCTCCAGTGGGACAGCTGTGTCTTTTAGTTAGATTAAATAGCCTCGAGTGACCGGCTCCCGTCGTAAGTCGTTGTCCAGAGTATTATATCGCCAGCTTGTGGTCTGTTGGATTTAGAGTACGTAGAGTACACGGACGGTACGATCGCGCCAGCATCTGGTGTAAACGCGAATCCACCGGCCGCGAGAAGCGCGTGCTCGCCGGTGCAAAGGACACCAGGTAGGATCGCCGATTACGATCCCCTTAGCGAGGCGAGACCGAGCCCTTATTCCGCCAGACAGGCGGCCACCACTGTGATTTATACTAGCGACAAGGGACCAGGTGAGTTTACGACGATTTTACGACCCTAGACTCGTTCGCTTTCGAGCAACGACAAAGATGCTGCACCAGAAGACGAGATATCTGGAGGTTACGCGGTTCCGATAGGACCAGTAGGTCAGAATTACCCCGAGTCATCTACAATACAGTATAAGTGTCGCGATCCGGGCTGTAAGGGGACGTTACAGTAGTAGAAGTTGCTTTTGGAACGATAGCAGATATGTGAGTTATAGTATATACGTAGAATCAAAAAATTCTAATTAGGTTCTTCGCAATAGGCCTTTGTTTTTTAGACATTTTCTAGACTCTATGTATACTTATTCCTACCATGACCGGTCAATTGTTTTTATTTTGTTTTTTTTTTTTTACATAATATGTATAGAAAGTTGTGTTTGGAAGTTTATATCTCTTTTATGTCGCATGTTTTAAAAATCTGTACAACAATATCCAATACTTTTACTCAAAATGTGCATACTTAGTACTTTAACTTCATACAGAAAATTTACGAACTGTATCGAAATTTCTTAATTTTCATCGGATAGAAGATAAAACGCCCTTGAAGAGGAATTTTGTTTCAAGTCGATTGCGTGGTTAGTTCTGGAGATATAAGGGTTCGGAGCGTTTGTTTACGTTGCGAGGTCATTGACCTCACACGTAAATAGTAAACATGACAGTCACAATTCACGCGCGAGAAAAAGGTTCGATGCATTAGACGGATACAGAGACAGTCAAAGTAAAAAAATTACCCCTTCACATAAATTATGATACCTCTAAAACGGAAAATCAGATCGACATAATCCAAAAACCATTTCAAAAAAGGAGCTTTGCTGCTTCTAACGGTAGCTCAATCATGGAGAAAATGCTAGTAATGTTGGAACTGCATGTGTGTAAAGTTTAACTATTCTTAATACGAGTTGTTAGACTGTCTAAAACAATGAAAACTGAAGATTCTCTCCTTTAATCTTTGCTATACTACTATACGTACTACTATTTTTTGTATTAAAAATTGGAGGATTTTTTGTTTTAATATTTATGTCGTATATACACAATAAATAAAATATATTTTTACATTTCAAAATAATTAAAGAAAAAAAGTGACTTGGTGGGGATTCAAACCCACTATCAAAAGCTTCGTAGCTAATCGCTCTACCGACTTAACCACATCCTGTTTTATAAAGTAAATTTAAATAATTCTTTTACTTTGTACGTACCAAACTCTAAATCAAAATATCTCGAAAACGAAGGTTCATTATGAAGAAACTTATTAGGGTTTTTTAATATATAGTATAACTTAAACCTGTTATCGTTTCAAAAGCAATGTCCACGACTGTAAGGTCTCCTTGTTAGAAGCGAGGGGGACTGGATTTGATCGCTCTCGTCTCCCGTCGGTCGCATGAATTGAGTTTATGCTACCTACTGGGACGGGACATATGGAAACTTCAAAACCCCTCGAAACTCGAAACTTTGTGGTATTTTTGTGATTTGAAACTATTGGAGTGAATAGTTTGTATAGATGAGTTAGGAGTCAATTATATTCTTAGAGAGACTATTCAGTACGTGAGTCATTATAGTTATTTTACGTTTAATTCTAGGCAATTACGTTACTTAAAGGCAGTAACGAAAGTATATTTGAAAATTTCTTGCTCTAAATTTCATCTTCCTTTCTTATTTTCCCCTTCGTTATTTTAATCGCCGGGCATGGTTTCGCTTGTTCATTAGTTAATTATAGTTAACACGGGTTAATAAATTGAAGTTTCGAAGCGAGGAATATTTTCTAATGCACCTCGATACTCGAATACTTTTACACGCAGTGCAACGATGGGAATTAGTTTATGCAAACAAGATTTACAGTCTTTAAAAAAAGAATTGCATGCGCACGCTAGACCCGCCTCGTTGATTTCAGAAGAAATTATATCACGGAAAGATAGTCCTCGTTAAGCTAACTTTTCTCTAGAAAAATTTTCTCTGTCTTCAGTTAGAAAGGAGCCTGTCCTAGTTTCTGGAATCACTTTGTATCGAGTTGCAAAAATTGATTGCGCAGGAGGGGGGTTGAAGGTAGCCTACACTTTTAAGAAAATGATCTTTTCATAGAAGACAATAGAGATACTCCAGGAAATATCTGATAAATGCAATATACTATTCTATGCCGTCCAAATAAAATTTGACAAAATGGTTTTCGTAGAAACTAACGAAGATATGGACTTCATCTTTTCACGGTTTAGAGAAGTTAATCTCTTTGCAATAAATTCTTTTGAGTCAGTTGTTGAAAAGAAAAATGGAGCATCCTAGATTTTTTTAAATAGGGGTGGTATTATTGTATTATTTGGGCAATTTTTCATAATTTATATTTAATATTTACTTGAACAATTTCTTTTTATTCTGCAAACAAACACAAGTTTGTTTTAGTATTGAAATAGCTTAGTATACCTGTGTTCCTAAACGCATATCTAGGATAGATTTTAATTCTGTAACTATGTAACATGAAAAAGAAATTATTCAAATGTTATTCAGTTAAACAAGAGCATACAAATAATAGAAAATAATACTACCGTGCATTTTAAAAAATCTAGGGGGTTCTAGTTTTTCTTCTATCAGTCGCGCATGGGAAAATAGCCCCCACTTGACCATTTAACTAGAGTATAAATACTTCTTCTTTGTTCCTGAGGAAACAGTTTGTAAGGCTTCATTTGGGCCACATAGTGCATTTGTATGATAACGAATGGATAGTTAAATGCACTTGGTATAGTTCTAGTTTTCCTTTATTTCGTGTACGAATGATATGGCCATGTGGGTTGGCCACTCGTTACGCAACCGGCAATGGCCAGTTTCAATAGATTGCCTTTTAATTGGATTAGTTCGAACGATATAGGTAGATACACTTCGGCCACTCCTATTGTAACGTCAATTATTATCTTCCCAACGTCGGCGTTGTGTAAAATTTATCGTCGAGTCGAACACTAATTCATTACGTTGTATGTTGTGCTTCTAACAGATGACGTGTGTTTTTCCCCCCTATTTTTCTGTGCAAAGTAATATATAATCGAGAAAGTTGTGGTTAACGGTGGCTGGTCAGACCATATTTCTGTATTTTGTGTAAATGTGTCCTGCATTTGTTGTAGTTTTTTTTTTATCGTTGCTCACACGTCGACACTACATCCATTCACCAGCAATTAAATCGAAAATAATTCAATCTTTTTAAATTCTATTTAAACCTACACTTTTTCCTCGAAGAAATATCTGTTCTCGTGGCAGGCATTTTTATGGAAAACGTAAGTTCCAAGTACTGCTGTAAAAAAACTCGAGGGACAGATATTTTTAGTACTCTTGCAATAAGAGTTCCGCGGAAGTAGTTATTTCCGGAACATTCATTAGACAAAGTTTCATAGTTGTAATTTGTTGAAATGTATTCGAATATATCAGAATTCATTAAAATTTATTAAAGTTTAGTAGAATTTGTTAAAATTTATTAGATTTTATTATAGGTTCGCGCAAGAACATTTATTTCTTTTTAAATGATGTTCGAACTAGAATTTTTATAATATGAGACCCTTTATTATAAAATACTTCACTTTCACTGTATCAACGGAAACTATTAAAGGAGTTTATTTCTACTCCATAATGCGATTTCGTTACATTCGTTGGATACAGTAAAACCTCGATATGTGCAAAAACTAAGAGTAGAAAATTCCTGCGATAATCGAGGTTACCAAAACGAAAGTAAATCAATATCGTCGAAACAGTACAACGAACCGTACTGTCGTGCAATAATCGAGGTTCTACTGTACAGACCGCTCGGTTTGTAAAGAAGGTACTTCCATTCGAATTAGTTTGAGGACATGCCGCCATGTTGCTTGTTTTATCCAAACGCGATGATGACTCGTTCTAGTGACGAATCCACCTACCAGAAAAATCGGCTCTGTGGCAGACATAGACCCCGTGAACGACTACTATGGATCGTTGACGCCAGCCACGAACAACAATCACGTCCCACAGCATCAGCCGCCGCCCCCACCACCCACCAATGTCGGGGTAAGTTCTTTCGATACGTGCAATACCGCTACCTAAACACAAGGACCTCCCCGAACAATTTTCCTACTTTTAAAATCGGTAGAACTTTCAATTAACTCCTTGTCCTATGATTTAAACAGTGTGAGCCCAAAGTTTAAACAAAAGTGCCCAGCTTTCGAGCCATTCCATAGTGGCACGCGGTGTTTACATTTGGTCCGAATACCTGACTACGAGCCTCACGGGTGGTTGTAGCATAAAGGGTTAAATTTGACGCGTTTCAGATTCCCATAAATATTATCCCTCAACGATTCATGTTGAATTAAAATATTCTAACGATACAAATACGAGCTCCGATTGAAAGAAAAATCGTTTTAGCAAAAAAATGCGTGCAATCGGTGTCCGTAAATCTATCGTTAGAAAGGTCACATACTCGATACCGGGGCTCCAAACGTAAAACTCACGAGTGGACGGCAGTCACGAGTATCAGAACTAGCTGGTCAAGGCAGTAACCGAGGAAAGAATGCCCCTTGACAGAGGGGACTGGTGGGAGGTCCACCGCGGTCGATTCTTTCACTAGCGAACCTTATGCCCAAACCGATCAGCCTTCCCTTTCCCATCGGCGGCGCAACTTTCTCGATCATGATATCGTTCCTTTCGTTTCCAGAGAGTGTACAGAGCGATGTACGACTACGAGGCGCAGGACCTCGACGAGGTGAGCTTCTGCGACGGGGATCTGATCGTCAACTGCACGGCCATCGACGCAGGCTGGATGACCGGTCTGGTACAGCGCACAGGCCGACACGGCATGTTGCCAGCGAACTACGTCGAACCGGCGCAAATTTAAACCATCCGAAACCCGTCGCGTCCTCATAGTCTTCGTTGATCCCCGCTGCGTCGATCGGGTGGCCGTCCGGTCGAACGAACGAGGAAAATGGCGCGGAACCAGCCGGCAACAAGAACGAACACTAACAGGATTCGGGGCGCTCGATCGTCGCCGAGGATGCTCTGAAAAAGGAAGAGATGTTCGAATGTAGGAGCGAAAGAAAGACAGTGGCCGGGACCAGCGAACACGGAGATTCTTTATTAGCCTGGTAACGGTACTTCCGGTAGCGTCGTATTCGATAGAAATCGTCGATCTTCCTTTTTCGAAGGGCACGAGGAGCTCGACCGAGATTCTGGACGCTTCGCGTCACGGAACAGCGACTCCAGTCGAAAATCGTTCTTCGACGCTCCATCCTCTCGGAGTGTCTGGCATCGTGTTTTTGCATTTAAGTCGTCAACTACGGCCGTAATTCCATCGCGTTTGGGACCAAATTCCGTTCGAAGATGAACGCGACACAGTGCCTTTCGCTAGCAATAATTTCTGTGAAAGAGTCGATCGAATCCGAGGCACCTGCATACACAGGATGTCACAGGTTTGAATGGCCAAACTCTGACGGTATATTCTATGGATGTAAATAACAGGAAAATCTTATATAAACATGGGAACAAGCTTTCTTAACCCTTTATATTATTAGACAATTTTTTAAATTTAGTTATCCCGACGTGCATTTATTTTTGTTTCATTTTTAAATGGTCAGACTTGGGATACGAACGTAGGACCATGAAGGAAATAAATTTTTCTTTTGGAAGATTGCTTACAGACACCTAGAAGATCCTCTAAAGATAGAAGACTTATGAATTAATAACCTCAAATTATGTATCTGTGTTTTCATAATTAAATTTATATTCGATTCAGTGGTAAACGAGAATCTCATTATTACCTTTGTTCTAAATGAATGAATAAACATTCTAGTAACCTCAGATCATGATAACCAAAGATATTTTGATGTTATTCGTTCCTATGTTTTGTTAGAAAACAATATTCCCTTAACGAGACGTTTGCAAGCATGTTTCCAGAGGAAAAGTTTATTTGTTTTATGGTCCTCAAGCTTGATCATTTAAATCAGAAAAACTCGATACAACTTGCATAAAAGACCAATAATTTATATAACACAAGAAAGTATTACTACAAGTCTTACACTATATACATATAGGTGAAGGAATTAAACAATTATGACAAAAATAAAAAATACAAAGTTTAGTTTATTTATGCGAGCTATATTTACTATCTGAGCTTCCGGGATTAATTAAAAAATCAAAAATGTTTATCGTACTTGGTAATACTAGATTAATAGCCGTCGAAAATCGTATTTATTACTATACGGGATATCATTTTTCTTTTGTTTTATTTGATTGAAAGCATTACTCAGTTTTTGAATCAATTCATTACGCGAATTCTTGTTTCATTCCTTTTTTTCAAGTTTCATCACAGATAAAAGAGTGACGCGAGATTAAGCGATCTTAGAGGTTAATGTATGGGCTCCGCCATGACAGTGATCTAAACACCGTGCATACTCTTGATTCGTAATCAATGTCCGCATTTTGGCACGAAGCCTAACAACTTATACTGATGAAAGTTGCCTTCAAAATGTTTGATAACCTCAAATAATAAACACAGCTCTCGTAAACAGGCTAATATAATTATTGCCTAACTATTCTTACGTTGTATCGCAGTGGATTGTTTTCAATATTGTGAATTTAATTAATCTTTAAACAACGTATGTTTTTATAACATGTTTACTTTATTTGATCCTGTACAATATACTGACAAAGTTTGGCTATTAAAATCCTGGGCAGCCTGTATATTATATACAGGGTGTTGCGCATTTTTCCGTACACACTTCAACAGTGTGTTCTACAAGTAAAACTAAGACTGAAATGTTATACAACAAACAATTCAGAAATGATTTGTTAAGAAATTATGACAAAAATATGAAATGTCATGTTTTTTTATTATTTAAACAAACAAATTTACTAAAACTTTGAATAAGGAGAGCAACTGCTAGTTGAGGCACGAAAAAATATTTTTAACGTAGAATTATGTGGATAACTTAAACACTTTTTTATCAGAGTTTAGTTTCTATCATCTATCTTGTATGCTGAAGTATTCTTTCTTCGATGATAACTTTTTATTGTCATACAATTTTTAGCTATCGTTCAAGTTTATGTTCAGTAAATTACAAAGAAACTCACGATATCGAATACTTGCAAAAGATTGATTTTATTTTATTATAAATTTGTTTTCTTATTTTAATGTCCTGAATCAACAACCGAGTTTTACAATTTATATTTTTGTTATAATTTTTTAACAAAGCATTTATAGATTTTTTGTTATATAACATTTTAGTCTTCGTTTTACTTGCAAAACACACTGCTGAAGCGTATACGGAAAAATGCGGAACACCCTCTATATACAGTTCAGTTCTGTTTTTATTTCCTCTCGAAATCATTCCGCTGCTTCGAGGATTCCATTTTCCGTCTTATTTATCACAGTAAGGACCAGTTTTGACGATAGTGCGACGACAAAGACAGAAAGGTCGAGCATTTATTGATTATCAAATATATATATATATATATTTTTTTTTTACGTCGACACCGTTTCTTAGATCTTTTCCTTTTTTATTATCCCGAAGGGACACGATACGTTCATCGGAATACAGAATTATTGTTACATTTGTATGCACCGTTGTTGACGATTTCTGTCCTCTCAGTCTTTGTCCACGTTCGCGCGTTGCTTTCGCATTTGTTGCACACGGAACTGATCGAAAGTTTCGGTGAAAAATTGCTATTTATTGTACGACGATAGTATCTCGAATATTATCGGGTTAGCGAAGAAACTTGGACTAGAAACATCTACGGCGCCACACCGTTCATTGTGATTCAAAAGGAACAACGATGTGCCTTATATACGTAGACCTTTAATTAGGACAATCTAACCGCGAGCTTGCGTCGCGATTAAGACGGGGACCAGATCGATGAAAAAAAAAAAATAATTCACGAACTAACGTTATCGTGTGTCGTTACGATAGGACAGAATTTTCAATAATTCTTTTTTATAGAACTATTTTTGAAAGTGAATCTAGTTAAGATAACGAAGATTTGTAATAATGTTGTTGAACGCGAATGTTTCGTTACGCTCGCCTGCTCGATACGATGCACGTAAGGAAAGTAACAATCGTTAAAAACTTTATTACCGCTCTTTATCTAGTTAACAACATTAACCAACATTTACCTAATAGCTGTTAAGTTTTATCACGCGAGGTTCGCCCATGTTAAAATGCTTCTTCGGCTTTCTATGATCCTTTCAGTGCTGAACGACGCCGACCGTGCCTGAAAATCTTCCGAGGGGCATTGATCGTGCATTTTACGAAGTATCAGATAGTATTTAATATGGTGATTCGGGGAACGCGAGTCTTTCAATCGTATATTGGGCCCAAAAAATGTTTGGGAGCCCCTGCTACTAGTGCTGCCAGAAAAAAAATGGCGGTAGAAGAAGAAGACGACTAGCAGTGGAAGACAACTATTTTTTGGCTTAATGTATGTGCTGTAGGGATCGACTGTTTTTAATCCTTTGCACTTCAGGCAGTTTAAGACTAAAATATTCGAATACTATGAATAAAATCCAAGCACGAAGTTCACTTAAAATTTGCAAATTGCACTATTTTTTATATTGTTTTTTAATTTTATATTGTAAAATATAAAGGGGACACGAATAAAAATATGATATAGCTTCATACAGTTTTAAATATTCTAAAACAGAATTTTACCAAGTATTTTATTAGTTTTATACGTTTCTTATACTTTACAAAGCTAAATCACTTTCTATTACATCGTAAAATAATTACCTCTGCAAAGAACTTGAATCGAACGTTTCTTGAACTCAGATTACATTACACTATATACGAGAAAGAAACAAAACGGTATAGAGAATTGTATAAAAATAAGGAAGTACTGTCGGAGTGCAAAGGGTTAATTAGTATGGTATCTTGAGCTATAATACTCGATAATGAACTTGCTTAGACAGCAAAAGAATTCGATTTAAGAAAACGAACTTAGTATAAGGAATTTCAGAGTGGAATTTACAATTTATAGATAGACAATCTTAAGAAACAATAACAGATTTTGCCTCTGTGGATTATTGTGGAAAATGAACCAACTATCAAAGATGAAACTATACATTTAATTTTGTAATACTTTTACAAAAATGTTCAGCCTGTATACATTGACGTAACTTTTAAAGTATTGGGCACCTTACGAAATGAAGATCTAATAATCTTCAGCAGTGAATTTTCAAGGCTGTCGATTCTATTTTTTATCGAACAATCGAAAAAGATAACTATTAAAAATCTTTTTTTAAATATAGTCTGACTGTATAAGTCTGACGATTCTAAAGAACGAAAGAAATATATTTGGTATGGTACTATTACCACACATTCAAATCACCTAACCGTATTTACTAATAATTATATTTTCAATTTCACTCAATGCAAGCCAGCCGCATTATTGACTTGAACTTTTCGCTGTGCGATTTACAGTTTATTTTCTTCATAATTATAAATTTCCAGAGTTGGTATCCCAACCAAATTAGCGGATACAAAATTGTTTTTGAACCTTTAGAAACGTACCATCACGAGGCTAGCGCAAAAATGGGCAACATTTTAATTGTAGAATAAATATTCTCATCGTCAACAAATAAAAATTTGACCATTTCATCAAACAATCGCGAATAAATTGCTATACGTTGGTGTTATTGGTTCCTATTGTGCGAATAAAATGTTGTCCATCTATGGGCTAGCGAGGAATATCGACGACCTCGGGGTTAAATCTCGTTCGAAAACGTATTTTGAGTGGGTTATATCGTGATTATTTTGAACAATGGACTTTGTTAAATAATATGTGTAGTCGAACGGAACGCGTTTCTTAAATTCTGCGCCGTTTTATTTGTTTAAATATCGTGATTCCCATTTCTGCTTGCATACGTGTTGATCTAGGTCAGGCTGGCACCGAATTCCTTTGGCATACAAACAATTAAACCGTGGACGTTTACGTGTTTTTATTCGTTGATTTTTCACGAAAACTCGCTTCGAACACCAGTTTCCACCGGTATTGTGTCGTTAGCCCCGAGAGAGAAAAACGTATTATTAATCGAATAAACAGTCGAATTCGACAGCGCCTTCGAGTCTTCGTCCGTCGATCCTCGCAGATTTTTAGGAGATTCGTGAACGTACGCGCTCCGAAGAGCTCGAGTCCAGCTCGCTTTTCGTATACGAGAAACTAATTGGACTTTTTGACAGAAAATCTCGTCGTTGCCACGACTGGAGATTTTTCTACAACAATCTGCCTGACGGTACAGCAGGTCACGTATTACGTTTACGCGCTCGTCAGTTGTTTACCTCGCGCTCCAAATCTAGTGTGTTTGAAAGGGGAAACTGTCGCTTAGCGCAGTAATTTCTGGACTGTACTAATTTGCTTTTGATAAATGCAATCGGGCAGATCAGGTTTTCCTTGAATCTACGGGATTGTCTCAGCAATGCCACGAATGGGGCACCAAATGGAGATTGTAAGGCTCCAAGACAGTATGTCCAGTAATGGGAGGAAAGTCTCAAGCAACTCCAACCATCCTACGGTTACTACACAGTGATAACACAGTGGTCCAACTGGCTCCAAGGCAGTATGTACAGTAATGAATGAGAAAAGCCTCAAGCAACTCCAAACATCCTAGAGGTGGAAGGAAGGCTCCTCGAATCCTCAACTCCACCACTCGGTGCACTCTCGACTGACGCAACCGACAGAGTCCCAAGCTGGGTAGCTTTCGAAGGGACTCTAGACGATCAACACCGAGCCTCTTGTGTCGCGGACGTGGCAACGACTGCAACGTTCCATCACAATCCTGCGTTCGCGGCGTGCTCTGTGACCTGCTGTACCGTCAGGCAGATTGTTGCAGAAAAATCTCCAGTCGTGGCAACGACGAAATTTTCCGTCAAAAAGTCCAATTGGTTTCTTGTGTACGAAAAGCGAGCTGGGCTCGAGCTCTTCGGAGCGCGTACGTTCACGAATCTCCTAAAAATCTGCGAGAATCGACTGTTTATTCGATTAATAATACGTTTTCCTCTCTCAGTGCTGACGACACAATACCGGTGGAAACTGCTGTTCGAAGCGAGCCTTCGTAAAAACACGTAAACGACCGCGGTTTGACTTTGACTGGCATATCACCTATACACGGCTGACAGGATCTTCCATTGTGAATTTTTGCAGAAAATTGCACGATTCTCGTCTGGCAGCGAACGTGTTAATTGTCCGTACGAAGGAATTCGGCATCAACCTGACCTTCCGGAGTATCACGTATGCAAATAGAAATGGGAATCACGGTCCGTGTTTCTTCCTCTCGCGATATTTAAACATTATTCGTACAGGAAACACATGCACACACAGTACTGAAAGGATTTGATCGCTTCCTCGGATATGTTCTCGAACAATCGCGGGATTATCGGCAATATGAGATTGTTCTCCGCGATGGTCTCGATTTTCATAGATAGCTTTATGCCTGATGTCCAATTAATGTACAGATAATATAGTGATCGAGGAAACTCGTCGACGATAATGAGAATATCGTGTTACCATTGCGGAGTATCTGCGCCCTCTCGTTGTCCTCTGTTTTCTTTTGTCTCACGTTTCGAAATTACCTGTCCGTTTTGAAATTTTGGTTCCTCGGGGAACGTATTTGCATTGCATTTACCTGAATAGGAGATTAGGAGAACGCTATGCGAAGGAACTAAACGGCAATGTTGTTACGTGCGCGTGGAACGTCGTTCGACTTCGTGATACCGCGAGGAGATATATTCATATTTTTGGAAACATGTTAGCAATTTCTTTTTTTTTTCTTTTTTGTAATTATTAGAACACCGATAAGACGATCTACGATTATAATTGAGAAACATACAGAAATATATATATTAGTGTTGTTTAAAGCAGATAATATTATATTATGATACGAAATCATAAACAATGAATATGTTATGTAATCATCGCCAGATTATTGCTTATCTTCCTGTCTCTCCATTGTCCTTATATTTTCCAGCTGTTCAACTTAACAACAGTGTGGAAATTCACTAGTAAAAGAAACTAATTGCGTCACTATAATACCAGTATTTTATTATTATACAATGTGATCTAAGATTACAAGGCAGACGAATTTTAGAGTATATAGTACTCATAAAAATAGATTAAAAGTGTCCTATTATGCAATTTGCACCCTTTCTCTATAGGTCATCGAGTATTTTGTATTATGACAGAGAACTCTAAAATATTTACTAACCGCCAGTGGAAGATACTTAGTATTTGTAAACTTGTAAATAATAATTCGTTTAGTATGTTGTAAAATAACATACAATTCGATTTTTGAATATTTCTATTTTTCACATAATTTTAACTGGCGTGATAGTCAACGTATTAACGAGCGAATACACTACACTTTGTTTTCCTTCAACCGTATCGAGTCGAAGATTATTATTTATATTTGTACAAGATTTCGAGATTCATTAGTACAAATATATTTATTAAAAAAAAAAAAAGACAGCTGCTCATTCAGCGCCAGCGATAAATGAATCGAAAGGAAGTTGCAACGAAATAAAAAGTATGTTTTTAGCGCAACGGAAACTGCAGCCGCTGTTAAATGAAACGAATCGACGTTCAGGTATAAAAAATGCACATTTATTGAGAGCGATATAAGTACAGTAGAAGGGTTACTCGTATAAAACTGAATTTGCGGCAATTTAGCGCGCGTATTAAATTCTCGGCTGGATTCGTATTCGAAACAGACTTGGGCAAGATCTTTAATGAAATGCACGAACGAATGTTTTATACGAACGCGAGACGTGAAAGTTGAGCGTAGGAGAAAACTCGTTGATATGTACGAAAATTATTTGTAACGAAATCTTGCACGCTAATAATGCCCAACTCTGGTTTTCACCAGTAACGCATGGAAAATTGAAAAAATTCAGCTATTTAACAATGCAGAAAACACGAAGTGTCGGTTTCAATCTTATCGTATCAATTTCCTATAAATTGTCGCGATCGTTTTTCTTTACTTTACTCGCGTACCATTCGCCTCACCCTTTCAACTGCCTAACCATTTTCGTTGCAAGATGAACATCGTTTTCATACTATCAACAATTGCTAAAAGATCGGCAATTCATCTAAAAGTTCAAATTTGTCTACCTATATATGCTGAGAAACCGAAATTACAATCGAATTTGCAACCAAAACAGAAATCGCACTTAACGCGTTGACTGATTAATTGTACGTCGACAATGTAAAATAAATAGCGAACGATTATTGAAATATTTAATTACTTTTATTTTCTATAATATAGAGATTATTTTTTATAAATTTGTTGAAGCAAACGTTAATGGAGATACGCAGTATATTCTAAAGTAGTCTAATTCGATGGAAATACGATTCGTCTTGAAAAAATATATTCAAAATGTGTAATAAAGTTTTTTTCTAGGAGCTTTCGTTCTCAAGAAAATCGACTTCGAAATTGCTCGGAGCAACGCAATAAAGCGCGCGCGCCGCGCGAATTCGAAGTCGATTTTCTCGAAAATGAGGCCACGTACGAAAAAATTTCATACCACAATTTTGATTTATTTTTTTCAGAACGTGACGTCAGTATTTATATCATCGCATTATGTGAATGTGTAGTCAACGCGTTAACAGCAGCGCCAATAAAAAGTTTCGAAGCAGTCAAAAGGTTAATACATTAGCGTCGTTTGCCTGCACAACGAAATTTCAAGCATTTACGATCGAAGCATTATATTTTGCAACATATTGTTTAGCAAACATTCGTGTCTCGCAACGTTATGAGACACAAAAGCGAACAAGCGTGCGACAAAGATCGCAAAACACAATCGACGATTAATATAATAGCAGCGAATTTAAATCCTAAATCCTAAAATAGGACTACTGCGAGGGCCAAATCTTTTGGCACCAAGGTCGTTACCCCTTCTGTTATCGATTAATGTCACGTGACAAAGATGTCAATGTTTAATATTGCCATATGAATTACATACAGAATCGAGCAAATTTAATTCAAGGAATATGCCTAGTTTGGAGATAATAAAAATCACTTTGTTTTAATTTCCTTAAAGATACAAGTCTTGAAAACTTTAATGGTGCAATTTAAATGATTGACAATAGAATTTTCAATTGAATTCTGTATACTTCGAATATTGTATACCAAATTTTATAGTAGATTTTCTCCAAACGACATCTTTTAATATTCGGGGAACCAATGCACTGATTGATTTAAAATTTGACACACTCATGCACAATAGGATCTTTTTGGTCTTTTTATTCAGGATCACCAGAACAATAATCATGTTAATCATAGGCGTAGGTTTGTATACATTGTTCACAAATATATTTTTATATGCATTAAAAAAACAAAAAATTCACCGCATTTAGGTACAGGCACGAAGGGGTTAATCACAGGTGACATATTATATATAACGTGAGAAGGAGTGGGGAGAGCCTTTGACCTTTGGACGCTGAAAGATTCGATCCCCACAGTAGCCGATCGATCGATGGATCGACAAAGCGAAATTTTCGTCCTTGTCGCAGACCATACTTCGTTGGAATGTAATGTTCAAGGCCTCGTCTAATTTATTGAGCCATCCTTCAAATATTTTTTAACACATGAATTTACAACATAGTTATCCTTGACCGTTCCTTATTAAGCTCCAACGAACGATTACAAAGATTTTCGTCGATTACAGACGTTCCTAATCGATCGAAAAACCTTCCTAGAAATCTAATAATTCCTTGCTCTCGACTAACGATCCGTTCGGACAATGTCAACGGTGATTATCATTGCTCGAGTCTCGACACAATCCTTGGCACGAATAAAGCCGTTTCTTATAGTGAAACAAATGGCAAGTATGAACATAGATGGGCAAAATTCTCGTCTAGTCAAAAACTTCGAGCAACGAATGAAAGACAAATGATTTTTTACTCATTACTCGTCGATTTAAAATTGGAATGTCAGACGTGAAATTATATTTCAAGAATAAATCATTGTACTTTTTTTTTATTCGCGATCTATCGTTCGAACGAGATTTTGCCCATCTTTGAGTACGAGTCGAGAGATTGGTCGTTACGGTGACAAGCTAAACTTTATAATAAACGCGGTGATGGAGGGTACGAGACCAGGTGGATATGAATTTGGGGTGAAACGCAGGGATGGAATTTCCTACACAGCGATGGAGCATCGATACTCGATTTAATGGTCGTGAAACGCCATTTACGAATCCTCTAAACATGTTGCAAAAGTATAGACGATGGTTATAAAAATGAAAAAGAAGTAAAAATTGAAATATATCATGATAGAAACAGTTCGAGAGGAAATGTCAATTTGTACTAATGCACAGGGTGATTCGAAGCCAGTGTCAAAAAATTGTTACAAGTTATTTTACACCTTTTTTTCTTATGATATATAGAATCACCTCTGTTAACTAAAGGAAGAACATAATTACTCTAACGAAGACTACGAGTTTACCTTTACCAAAGCTACAAATATCGTAGAAAAAAGAAGGATTTTTCATCCAATGCTTTAACTGGGTAGTTGCTTCTACTCCGAACTGTAAACTCCAAGTTTCTCGTTTACAATATTCTTTGCCTAAATGGGAAGCTCAAAATAAATGTGTCGATAAGCTACACAAAAGTTTGAAGGAAGAATTCCAGTCTGAAAGTATTTGAATATAAAAAAAATCAGTCGTCTGTAAAACCTCGAATATTTTGTTTCCCTTATTGTTCCGTATCACGCAATAAAAAGAAACTGCAGTACAAAGTCAGACCTCGAGCATTATCGAATAAATCCTCCACGAATTTTTTTTAATCCCTCCGTTCTTATTATCTTCAAACAAAATTGTAAATTGTTTCCTTTGTCTTCTATATTATTCGTTAAGCGAGCATTCGTTTTTTCTCAGGTAAAAAAATGAGTCTTTATAAATATAGTGTCCAAATTCCCCCACGATCAGATTCCACACTGGTTTAGGGCCCAAGCGGGCTCAGGTCCCAACTCTGCAGAGTATAGTGGGGGCAGATCTGCTGCGCTTGCGCGAAACAGAAAAGTAGGAGTAGACACAATTCGTCACCCCTGCTTCAGAATATGAGTATTAAATAATATAACGAAATTTGTATCGTGAACAAAGTTGCAGAGGTTTGAAGGCTGCGCTGAAACTTTTAGAAAAAGACTTTAGTGATATTCGAATACAGTAATCAACCAATCGATTTGAAATTTTGTACGTGATTTCTGTTATCCTATATAACCCACAATTATACATATAAACGCAACTATAAAGACAACTTTATAAGTCACTTTGAATTATTTAATTCTGATCAATAAGGTGGGTATAATTTTTAAAAGTCACAAATTCGAATGAATATTTGGCCCTAAAAAAACGAATACCCCCTTAAATAAACTAATGCTCTGTTCAAAACACATTCATCGTTAAATCTTACCGAACACAGGTCCTATCCAAAACATTCTGCATCAAAACGTACCAGCAACTCAATCAGAATCCGTAAACGCTTTTGAAACGTTCCGCTACGGAATGTCAATACTCTATCGTCGTTTTTAACAGCCTCGATCAAAGTCCAAAGTTCTTCGTTTCTCCTCGGCATCTCGTAAAACCACTCTAAAACCGGATCACCGTCGGAAAGATCCGTCGAACGTCTCACGCTGTGTAGGTAGCGCGTACGAGACGCCTGGCGTCGCGTCCTCTTCGTCCTGGGCTCTGTCGGCGCGCCTCTTGTCGGGAATCAACGTTTGGGCGTCGTGCGTTGAAGGGTCCGCGTGCTGGCAGTGTCTTTTTATCGTAGCGTGATCTTTCGTATTTTTTTTTTCTTTTTATTCAGAGACGGGCAAAATTTTACTCGAATAAAATTAATAACAATTCATTCGCGACGTTCACTCTACGGAACACCGTTAAAAATCGACCCATCGTGAAATATTTCATTCCATAATGGAAATTCTGATTTTTATTTAGGTCAACTTGCTAATTTATCGTTTAATTTAGACACGAATTTCGCCCGTCCCCGACTTTACCTTTTTGTTCTAGATATATGCAGTTATACTTGTATATGGGTGTGGTCTGTGTGTTGTACGTGTACGTGTATGCACGTGTTTGTGCCCTTGTCGCACAGAATTAGCCTGGCTGCTAATATCCGGCCAGGTCGGCGAACGTCTGATCCATCTCGTCGGCGATCGCTTTGTACTTACAGCGCTCGTTTACCACCACGTCTGCAACGCAAAAGGGAGGGAATGTGGTATTAGTTGGACGGTGTTAGACACTTGGTTAGTTAGGACAGTTTAACAAGTTTTATTAGAAAGAGAGAGAGAGAGAGAGAGAGAGACAAAGACGTAAACGTAGGTGTTATTGTTCAGTTTAGTAGAGGGACCGTGGAACGACGCGGCTAATCTAAGTTTTTTGGTCGTTGCACCAACGACTGTCAGATTTGGGAAGGACGATCGTTGGAGGGTGTATATGGTTCTTGATACGCGTAGGAAAATAGAAGAGCACCGTGTATATTTTTTAAGCCTTTTATTGTAACGTGATTAGTTCCTGGGTTGAAACGTTTCCAGCAGGACGGTTTATGGCAACGTCGCTAGGAAAATGGACAACCTCCGGGCTCAATCTTTATTCGCCTGAGTTTCTCTGTGGTTATACATGTAGTTGCGTCTCGTTAACCGTAAGAAAACCGCGCGTCGACGAAACCGAGTACTTACCGGGCACGTTCGTCGCGTGACGAGGAGAAAAATTATAAACAAATGGGGAAAGGCGAGTAATAAATACGTAAATCTGTGTCACGACTGGGATTTTAACTCTATGGTTGCCGGTCGGATTAATTTACATAAAGAACTGAAAAGGAACGCAGAGTTTCATCGATAAATAAAAAAAATGAAGAACGCGGAACGTAGTTTTATGACGCAGCAATTTTCAGTTACAATAACAAAGTTACACGTAAGCGGGCTGGCCAGTTTGGCAAAGCGACCACGATCGTATTCGGTCGTTTCGATGGCGGCCAAACGATCTTCGACAGCCGATGGACGTGTCCGATCGCCGACTATCAATTAATTCTTCTCGATCAATTCGGTGAAGGTCAGGTCCAGGTCGTCGCAGATGTATTTGTACTTTTCTTTCTCGTGTACAAGCTCGTCTGAAACGAAAGGTGATTGCGTTAGACGTTCGAAACAATAAACACTCGTAACCCTGCCCTGATATCTCACTCTTAAACGTAAAATAATATGTAGCCTAGAAATTAAAATATTCCTTCATCGAGAGTTCTGTATTTTATATACAATAAAATCTCCATTATCTGGACCTAATCGATTGGGTGGACTTTCTTATTTAAGTGACGATTTCTTTTTCAGCTTTATTTTTATTCAACTCTTTATATTGGTTTCGAATTTTGATTACATTTAAAAGTACAAAAAAAATCATTGTATCGGAGCTGAAATGAAATTTCTGGTCACATATCAAGTTACACTGCAGGATCTGTAAATTACAGTTATAATATTTTATAACTTAATGATATATAAATTTCTATACAGACCCTACGGTTACTCAAATTTGTTATGTGAACTAAAGTAGTATCCCCATAAAATTAAAAAAAACATTAAGCTAGTTTTGCCACGGTAGGTTTATCTTTGAATTTAATGATTTGACACTGCCTTTACTTAAAAATTTTAAATGTGAAATTACTCAAATTGTCTCAACTCTAATTTTGAGTATTGGTGTTGCTAAAATCTTGATAAATTTTCCGTTTGAACGTATTTTTTGCCTGTTTGGAGGTATCTTTGTTTCACTAATCTGGATGATCGAGGTTTTATTGTAACACGAAAATCAAATGTATTATCGTCGTGAAAATGACCGTGCGATGAGCGATATGTTGGTGATGAAAACGACGATTCTTGACTCCTTGCCTTTGTTGTGAGTCGATAAAATACTAAATATGAGTGATTTAGTATTACAATGTTAAAATAAAATTATTATGTTCCCTGTCGGGATACACCGATCAAAATAATTAGGAGATCATATATGAAATTACATATAAAAAAATCATGTACTAGAGTTTAATGAGAATCTGTAAAAATTTAATAGAAAACAACTAAAATTTGCTAAGATATTAACGTTTTAAATACTTCAAAAAGCAGCTTAAAATATATTACATGGTTCCGAGAAAAAAGGGGGGAATGTCAAATTTTAACACTTCTCAGAAAACACATATTTATTCTTTAATAAAATGCCACTTCTTGCATTGTTTCTTTTCAAAATTCCCTATTTTCTTATAAGCATACAAAAAATATTTAAACTAAGCTGATTGACACTGTACATAGTTTCACACACGACAAAAGCAATACCATCCTGAATTTACAATGTTTCTCTCGAATAAAAAAATTTCTTTCACGCAAATCTGATCTCCCTAATTACCTCGAATGGCGCACCATGCATTCAAGGCAAGAAGTTATCTCGTCCGATACGTGGTTTATCAGTGCACCTCGCTGGATAATAAGCTTCGGTCGTTAGCGGCGAGTAAGTGGGTTAAAATGCTCGCAAATGACTTACGGATTACGTTTGTTAAGAGCAAGCGAGATTGTGAGAAAGGTGTCTGTATATTTATTTGTTTTTGTTTTGGTCGAAGCGTTAGAAGGGTTGGTTAGTGGCTCGTTAGACGCCGTAGAGCTCCATGAACGCCTGGTCCAAGCCGTCTCCGATCTCCTTGTATTTCTCCTTCTCAACCACCATTTCATCTGCAAGCATTCGCACGGTTATTTGAAGCGTCATCCTCCTGGTCGGTCGTCGGCTACTCTGTCGCGTGTTCAAGGAAAATAGTCTAGACTCTAGCGTTAAAGCTGTTAATTTATATTTATCGAAGCGTTGCTTTGCGGATAGGAAGCGGGGACTTGGAATAGTTTTATATGTTTTTCTTTCTTTCGTTCATGACCAATGAAATTGATGTTTCTTTCGATAAAGTGTATGGGTGTTCTGTAATTCACGATGCAAATGTAATATGAAATAAATCACTAGCTAGGCACTATTATCTATTAGCTATTCCTTCATTGCAAGTTACGTTACATAAAAGCATTTAAATCTCACTAATTGACAATTCGATAGTACTTCCTGAAGTACTAGAAAGTAGGAATTCCTCCACGCAATTTTCAGCGTGCAAGAAAAGTGATTCAAGAATATTTATATATACGAGAGAGAAGCACATAAAACGTAAGAATAATTCTTAGGCTGTTATTTATTCCTTCCGTGCCAATTTAGAGCGTCCGAGGCACTTGAACTTCTCTAATTGGCAATTTAGTAATATTTACAATTAATGAGAGGAGCACAAAGTAGAAATCTAATTCTTAGTCTATCAATCTTCCTTGTAATACCACGTTCCCACAATCGTAATTATTTATTTAAAATTTTTACGCGTGGAAACGTAGCTCTAGACCCGCTGTCTACGAAACCTAGAGGCGCTCAAAAGACGTTTAAATAAATTTATTACCTCATACTAAGCTAGACTAAATAAGGAAATTTTTTTCTTCCGTTTGATCCTTTTTTTAACTCCTAATTAATACTTTCATCTGTGTAATTTTCTCCTAAAATTTTCTTTGATACATTTCTATTCATAATATAAACGAAGACTAATTTATTTATATCGAATCGAAACATTTAGAGGATTGTATAAATTTACCTGTGCAAGATTGAACATTTTAGAGAACGTTTGTTATTCGACTACAAGCTATTGCATTTTTTGTTCGCTAAAAATTTATATCAGACATTTTATATTCCTAAGAAGAATTTCTAAATATCAGTTTTAGCATTCCCCCGATATGTTGTTCCTTTTTATTAAGAAATTAAGACCTTTTCACTTTGACAAATAACGTAGACATCTGGTTGTTACGGGGTAAACGGAAAAATACGTGGATCGGAAAAGAAAATGCCGGAAAAGGTAAGGGTCATGTTAGGTAACGGGACACACTGGACGGGTTCACTCCTATAAAAATAGCAAATAAAGAACAAGCTGGTCTACTCACCGTTGTTTCTTCGATACGTACCGCAGGCAGTTCTTCTGTTGTGTGTTTGGCATGCAACAACTACACACGAGTCTACACACAACGGGCAGCGTGTGTTATTCGCGTGGCCGCGATGGATCAGTTTGTTAAACGCGTCAAACGGTACCAAAATTCCAGTAAAACAATAAAATGTAGACAACACAAAAACAACAATACAAAAAAGAAGAACAACAACAAACGACACACTGTTTTTTCAAAATTAAAATATATATTATAAACAGTTTTATAATAATAGCAATATATATAATAATCATTATCATTACAATGATATTAGTGTTATTATCGTTCCATTCGTTTTATTAATATTAAGTAATTTAATAAACTAAAACTCTCGTGAACTCAAGTATCTGCGTTTTTTTTTCTTTTTCGCCTTTTTCTCACTCTCTGTCGGCATTCGTTTTCTGGGGCATAACAAAAATTATCATCGTTAACGGCAGGACGCGTACGAAATCGTTATTGTGCTTGCTTCTTTTTGTATTCTTTGCGTAACGATCGGAATGTTCTTCTTGCTTTCTCTTCGGGTGACTTTTTGAGATCTCGTGATTGGAAAATTTCGGCGTCTCTTAAATAAATCAACTCCTCTCGAACAAAATAGACGACGCACGACGAAAAGTGTCTATCGAGTTCGGTGAATATTGCACGATATTATGCTTGAAACCTTATAAACGAATTTTATCGACAAACTGTGTAGCAGAGCTTTACGGATACGTCTCGAAAAGGCACCCGAGGAGACCTTCCACTGCGGGAAAATCGTCACGCGGATCATCGAAGGGATCGAAAACGCGTCGAAACGGTTCGAGGGGCAGTGGTGCACTATTTCTCGCAACGACGAAGAGGAGAAAAATGTTTCCGCGCGAAATCGTCACCGATAAGAACGATACTAAATTAAACAGTAGCAGCAATGAATAATGCAAGGTGAAGTAATGCGTCGCGAAGTGGAAGTTCATCCTTTTCTTTCTATTATTTTCTTTTCTTAAACCCTCGTGTCGTTTCTTTTTCTCTTTCTTTCGCGCGTCCACGTGGAAACGCGCTTTCAGCGTCGAGGTTCGATTGGCCGTGATCATATTACTTCTATAATAAATATATACAGGCACGATCGGTAACTGTCGAGTGGCTCAGCTCGTTCTAACGATTACTGTGTTCGTCGAATACAGATTCACCGTCGCGTCGTGGAATGCTTCGTGATTACGGGTTTTCGATCCATCGCGATACGTATCTCATCGCGATCTTCGCGATTCTTCGATCGTTTGGTCGAACGATCCGATATTTTGCTGATTGCAAGGTGATCTCGTAAAAAAACCGTGTTTTCAGCCCGAATGCTTTGAATTCTTTTGAAAAACTACATCGTAAATGTAGGAACAAGTTTTCTCCTCAGAGCCCTCGTTCTCGAGAAAATCGAATTTAAAAGTTCGCGGGGCACGCGACCCTGCGCGCGCTTTCAATAGGTTGGATCTTCAAAGCCGATTTTCTCGAAACCGAAAGCTCGTACGAAAAAATTTTATTGCATATTTTCGGTTTGTTTTTCCGAGAGGAATTCAAAACAGTATCGCTTTTCATTGTACCGCGGATCTAATCTCAGCGAAACCGTTGCGATTCTTCGATAACGATTCCTTTTTTACTGGATAGAAAACGATATCGTAAAAAAAATTGTGTTTCAACCCTAAAGAATTTGATTCCATTTGAAAATGTACATCGAAAATGTAGGAAGAAGTTTTTTCATAGGTGCTATTGTTCTCCAGAAAATCGAGTTCGAAATTACGAGGTATCGTTCACCTGCGCCACGTATCTTCGAAGTTAATTTTTCTCGAGAAAGGAAACTCCTACGGAAAATTGTTACTCTACGCTTTGTATTTACTTTTTCAAGAGGAATCTTTCTTTGTTAAATACAAGGTAGCATAAAAGACACGGTTCGAAATAAACCCGCTTCCTCTTGAAAAACGTAGAAGGAAATTCTCTAACATGAGTTCCATAGAAAATCGAGTTCGTAGATGTAAAGATTTTCGAAATCGATTTTCCCAAAAATGGATCCCCGTACGGAAAAATTGTATCCTACATGTTTGATCTGTTTTTCGAGAGGAACCAGAAACTGTATCTCTTTCGATTACACCGTGTCTTCTAAGGCCCGTGTAATTGGAATACAAATATACACAAGTTCATTATACGATGTCCCGGGTTCTCCAAACTTCAATTTTAGGTCGCAAGCTGAGCTCTACTAAACTATCTAACTTCGACTACGAAAATTATGGAATCGTCGCGAATCAGTTTAATCTTGGATACTAAACCGCGACGAATTTTTCACCTCGGTAGGAGTGCTGGCAGTGGGCGTATTTAAAGAATCACAATTCTTGATTATCACGAATAAGGGAATGAGCATGGAAGAAACTTCTTCTCGCGGGCGCTGAGCCGCCAAGGAACGAGGAATGTAGGCGTCGAGAAGCAAAACTAACGCTCCGTGCTTCTCTTTTCTTAACCGAAGAACCCGCGACACGGCCCCACGTCGAAAAAAAACTTGCTAGACAGCTCGAATCGGCCAAATATTCATCCGCAAGGGTACCTTCCGCAAAATTAGTCGGAATCTCTAAAATTATTCTGGAAGAGTTCGATGGACGAATGGTAGCTTTGCTAAGTTGACTACTTTGGAGGCAAACGAGGTAAAAGCAGCAGAAAATGTTTCAACCCTCTATTGTACAACGAAAACAATCCCTATGAACAACAATTCTTTTTCTTGAGGTGGGTTAAAATTCTATTGAAACCAATTTCTTGTAAAGTTTTGCGAGATTTGAGAATACTTGTAAGTTCCAATTAATTTCTTTCTCAAGGGGTTAGGAACATCTAATAAGGCTTGAAAATCTTATTTTTTACTTTGAATATGAACAACAATCTTTTTCCTTGAGGTGGGTTAAAATTCTATTGAAACCAATCTCTTGTAAAGTTTTGCGAGATTTGAGAGTACTTGCAGGTTCCAATTAATTTCCTCCTTAAGGGGTATAATACAATAGAGGGTTGATTAAATGCTGCGTCATTGTAAAAAATAGACTCACGATTCGAATTTGTGATTTCTTCAGCTTCGACCGATGGAGCATAATTTTTAACGAGGACTGGACGTAAAATAAAAATAGATCAGACGGTAAATAGCGCAATAGCAAGGTGTCCGAGGGTCGATGTCTCCGCGTAATCGAGACGACACGCGTGGGCGAAACGCACCCGGGTCTGAAAATACTTGACAGAGTCGCATTGGAAATTCTTTCCCGACGTGCACGCTTCGATCGATCGCCTCTGCGTCTGTTTCGCACAACTATCGTACCATACTATTCCCTCCCCTCTGCGTTCCCGTTACGTCTACAATTTCCGTGGTTCGTATCGTATTCCACGTTCGTCCACTCAAGAGTTTTATTGTTGAGAATCGGTATCGAGAACAAGAGCTCTTTCACGCAGGCTGGATGTTGCCTAATCGCTCCAAGGTCAAAGAAAGAACCCTTGCCCCCCTCACGCTACCGGAATCTCATAGTGGTTATTGGGTACAAAACTCACAAACAAAAATTTCTTATCAAGAGTTTTCCATTGTACACGATATTTATAAGTTCGAAAAATGCTGAGACCCAAAAACAAATTTAACACGTTTACCATGGCGGTCACTGGTGACCGTCATTTTAAGTTTGTAACACGTTTCAGTATTGTTTATGATAAAAGAATTGTAATGCGTTTGTAAAATTATAAATAACGTTACTTCAACCCACTATATGGGTGATTTTGTCACTAGGAAGCTGAAAAAATTAATTCTCTAGGTTCTCCAGGTAACAGATACACTAAATTATCGAATATTTCTATAATTCGACCAAATGTCGAGGATATCTTTAGATGTGGAAAACGTGTTAAATAAATGAGCTCTACAGGAACTTATAAATACCGAAAGTTTACTGGAAGTCTTAATAGCAATTTTTGGTCCGTGGACTAGTCTGCGCCGACCATCGCGGAGGGAACGCAGCGCATCAAGAAGGAAACCACTCGGACAAAACTGAAAAACGCAAAAGAAAAAGAAAAAAAGAAACATGTTCGAAGGCGAAGGGAGCGAGGAGTCTTTCTCGCGCGCAAAACACACAGGCATGCAACAACACACACACGCACACTAGCATACACACGTAAGAACCGCACCAATCGGCGCGTTGCTGATGGGTGTACAATGGTAGGGGGAGGGGGAGATGTGAGTCTAGCCTAAAAGAGACTGCAATGGTTTTTTTTTTAGGTCCGTGAACGATAATGGGTGGTGTGCACCATACACACGCACGCATACACACACACTCGCACACACACGCGCCGCACAGCGTGTTTTCAATCGTTTCGTCGCTCTCTCGGCGTCTGTTTTCGTTCCGTCTCCCTTTTTCCAATCTGACTTTTTAGCTTTACGTTTCGTTTTTTGTTTCTTTTTTTTTTGTTCCTCTATCACTCAGTGATTCTCTCTCTCTCTCTCTTTCTCTCTTTCTCTCTGAACGTGTCTATAATTTGTGTGTGTTTTTAGCCGTGTCTCTGTCCGCCGCGAGACACGATCTACATGTTCTGGATGTCATGCAGGGTGGCTTCCATCTCCTCCTGGAGCAATTTGTTTTTCTCTCTCTCGGCGGCAAGGTCGTCTGGAAAGATTACTGGTTAGAGGGAACACACGCAAACCACACGCGCTAGCTGCAGCCGTCGGTTAGAGGATGAATGTATGCACAACACACGTCACACGCGACCACGCGATATTACATCATCGTTTTCTCTGGTCGTTGATGTGTTAGTTCTTCTGGCAAATTACGGGATTTGGGTTTTTACCGTTTCACTTTGGAAACCACGGGGATGATTGTCTTTAACAGGGAGAAGAATCTGTCGATCGTACAATCTGTTGAACGTCTGGGTAATTAGTTAGAATTTTAACCCTTTGTTACACTAGTTCTTCCCTCGAATATATTGGGAATTCTTGGTATCCTAAGTTATTGTTACTCGTGAGGTTGCAGAGTAACTGATTACAAATCAGGAGTTAAATATACCAAATTCTAGAAAATCGACCAGATTGAAAAATACTATTTGCGGTGTTTTTGGGATCGTTGACTAAGAATCTGTAGACAAATATACCAAACTATAAATGGCAGGACCAATATGGTGGGTATGTGCCCTAAAAATGTGTGTAAAAATATTTTCCTATGTTCCAAGCACAAATGCGTAAAATTCTCATCCAAATAAAAATTACAAAATAAAATGTGTCACAGTAAACTGAAAATTCAACAGTATATTACAAAGTAAAGATTTATAAGTGTTTTAGAGCAAAAAGCAATAGTTTGGGTTAAATCTGAAATGATTCAAATTCTAAAATAAATTATAATTGACCATTATTTTACTCCTGCTTTCTCTAATGTCTACAGGGTGTCTTGTTTAAGCGAGTACAGAGCACGATATCTCGGAAGGAGTTGTAGTTATTAAAAAAATGTTCGTACAAAAGTTGTAGGACGGGCTACATCATGTAGTACTAATTGATTTTTTGTGGGTGGGGTGGCGGAGGAGATCTGAAGGTGAATCTAATTTTCTTAAATGGAATGCTATATTTTTTTCTTCAGAAAGTAACAGCAGATACTGAGACAAATCCAAAGAGGTGCTATTGTTGGTGCTAACGTAGCAACGTTGGTTGTGTTCGTATCAAGTTACTACAATTATGATATTATAAACAGAGATTGAGAAAGAAGCACGTGTGGGAAATAATTGAATATGGATGAATTTCACGAATTCGAGATAACGATTTATCTTTATCGAACTCAGAATAATATCGTATAGCACCTCTTTGGATTGTCCCTGCTGTTACTTTCTGAAGAAAAAATAGAACATTTCATTTTTAAAAATTGGATCGACCTTCAAATCTCCTTCACTACTCCAACTACAAAAAAAAAACAATTAGTACTACATGATGTAGCACGTCCTACCAAACAACTTTTGTACGAACATTTTTTTAATAACTGTAACTCCTTTTGAGATATCCTACTGTACTTATTTAAACGAGACACCCAGTATTAACAAGCCACCCTAATGTTCTCCACCACCATACAATCAGTGAGGTCGTTTATATAGCAAATAATTAACAGAAGTCTTTAACTCTTTGAGTGCTTTAATCGTACGTAAACGTTCACTCGGCGTGCGGTGAACGCCTATAGGCGTCCTGTGAATATACTAGACAGATATGTCTATATGATTTCCGCACACGGTACCTTTCAGCACCCAAAGGGTTGGGTTTCCAGAGTTTAAACTGCAATTTCACTTGTTTACTTGTTAACGTAGTTTTACGTTAAACGTTCTTCATTAATATTTATGCTGTGATATTTTCATCTAACAATGATAAATGGAAAGTTTATGTATTTTTAACTTGTACAGTATTGATAGGATATAATTAAGAATGTAATTGAGGGAACATGTCATGAAATACTTCAACGTATTCGTGTCATCGACAGATTCTTTTCCTCCCAGAAGGGGAATACAAATGGAAACGATTGATTTTTAAATTTTTTTTGATTTTTTAATAAGTCTACTCTATACTTGAACCTGTTAAAAAATTATGTGTTACTGTGGGATATCTGTTTCCTTCAAAACGAAGAAATCTCGTTTTATAGTACACAAACAGAATATTATTTCTTTCAAAACTACGTGACCAGTTATCCCAAAAACAGTCGGTCGAACCTAAAATTTACTGGTTGAGATAGCGTGTGTTCAACTAATCCTTTCCACGTAAATTTGAAATTCCAAAATCTCATTAATCTTTAAACATATTCAAGTTTATCTAGTGAAATAAATCGATTCAGTGCAAATGGGTTCTCTCTGAATTTGGAAACTGGTTGAACGGGTGTCGATGAATGCCTAACGAATTACCATGATCTTAGCTTTATGGTACAGCTTCGGTTTTCATATTCTGCTCCCTTCGATTCTGTAATTCTCTCTCTCTTTCGTATTTTGATAAAGAACGTAAATTCTAGAGGTAGAATTCTCCATGAAAATACTATCCAGGTAATAGCAAGTAATTCTACGCCATTGTTGAATTAAAAGGAAATATGTGATGGCTATTTGAGAAAGTCATGATAACTAAAATCACGAACGATAGATGAAATGAACGAAAAGGTCGATGAATACGCACCTTCGAGCCTGTCGACCTCCTTCTGGAGTTTCTGCACGGATCTTTCTGCGAACTCGGCGCGAGCTTCAGCCTATAGTGACAGGAAGAATATATAAATACGCATAATGATATCGTTTTCACGTGATTTGTCATCGATTTTAAAATTTGTACATCTACGATTAAGAAGGTCTCGTGCATACGTTAACAATTTGCGTTACAATACGTTAACGTATTACGCATATGTAAATCATATGTGATCAGATTTATACAAGATTACATATTTTCTTTTTAAAATCGACGGATTTACAGTAACTTTATTATTTCATATTAGTAAACTCCACTCCATGCTTTTAATTTTTTTTTTAAATAAATACGCGAATACAGTTAGTTAATTGCACACGTCGATCAACGTTACGTCTTCATTACAGAACACTGAACACTCCAATAATCGTACCTCGTAATTGTAAATACAGATGATATCGATATCCCTCTACCCAGCTCGAAACATTAATTAATCGCTCGTTAAAAAAAATTCTTTTCACAATTATTTTGTTCGTTCCTCGTACTTATGCGTAATATGCGAAACGTCGGTACGTGACTGAAACGTGAAATATGTGCAAAAATAAAAGGAGGAAATTCTACAATGGAATCGGTGTCTAATTAAACCACCAAGATCAAAAGATAAAAAGTAAAATAATTAAATTCCAACGATTAATGAAACGAAACGTGTACGACCCAAACCAACCGTTTCTGTATTTCTTTTTTTCTAAAGCCGGAAACTCACGAATTTAAAATTCTCCGCCTCGAATCTATCGCTTCCGGTTCGGTTCACCCGACATAGACTTACCTCTTTCAATTGGCTGTCCAGTATCTTCACCTGGCCCACAAAAGTCTCTTCTCTTTGCGTCGCCTGTTTTTAGTCAAGCGTAAAAAAAAGAGAGAAAAACAATCTCACGTTAGGATCAGAGAAATAAAATAAACGAAATAAAACACATCGGTTACAGCGATTATGTGTGGAGTAAAAGGGGCGAGTGTGTGGTAACGATTTGGCGCAGTGTTTTCCAAAATGGCGGGGATACGTTAGAATCTTAAATGGTCGAAAACGAAAATTTTTTAATATAGATAAACGTTAATAATTTAATCAACTCTTTTACACGGAAAACTTTAACGATTCTAGGAGCAGTTTAAATTTTCTTTTTCTTTTTGGAAACCACTAGGTTCGAAGAGTTAATGGTTTAGTGAAAAACTGTGTAAATCTCGCGACGACAAATCACACACTTGGCAAAACAAGATGCAAAACACTGTCAAAGGATCTGTACCTCCTTTAGACGAGTGGTAAGAGTCTTAATTTGGTTCTTGTACTCCTCCTCGCGCTGGTTGGCCTATATACAGTAACGTGAGCATTATCTATCTCGAAACGAATCATTTGTTTGCTCCGACGACGCCCGTAAATCTATCCGATAATCTCTCTACGTTTTTACGTCTACGTGTTTACCGAACACTTGCAAAATTTGTTTTCCTCGCGTATTCGTTTCCTATTGCGTTGTCTCTAGTCGAGAATACAGACTTTTTTCTACTCTCAACGCTATCTCTCTTCTTGCAATAGAATCGAGACCGTTTGTTCTCTCGAATGATCGAACTTTTTAGAGTCTCGGTCTTTTTAAAACTAAATTTTGCAGACTTTATACTAAAAGCTTCTATGTATACATATACAGGGGTGTTCGGCCACCCCTGGTAAAAATTTTAATGGGATATCCTAGAAACCAAAATAAGATAAAAATCTAGAATATCAATTTGTTGATTGAAGCTTCGTTAAAAAGTTATTATAAAATTAAATTAAAAAATTTCAAATCATTCACAGAAAAATTATTTTCGGTTGCGGGGGTCAATTACAATCATTTTTTATTAATAGACATACCCCCAAAATCCTACGCACTTTTGAGAAAAAAATTCGAGTAGGTGCTGAAATTTTCCGGAGAAATTAAAAAATTTCAAATCTTTCTAAAAATATTATTTTCAGTCGTAGGGGTCAATTACAATCATTTTTGGTTATTATACATACCCTCGAAATCCTAACTACTTTTGAGAAAAAAATTCAGTAAGTGGAGAAATTTTTCGACAAAATTAAAAACTTTCAAATCATTCTGAAAAAATTATTTTTATTTGCGGAGGTCAATTACAATCATTTTGGGCGAATACACATACCCTCGAAATCCTTCGCATTTTCGAGAAAAAAATTCTTTACCGAAAATGTTCTATAATTTATTAACGAAGCCTGAATCAACAAATTAGTATCCTTGATTTTCGTCTTATTTTGGCCTCTAGAATTTCCCATTAAAATTTTTCCCAGGGGTGGTCGAACACCCTGTATAATGTAAATTTTAGTTGACTTTTTCTACGTCTCGCTCGAACGATACAACGAAAATTGTTCGAGAGATAGTTAATCGAGCGTTTGTCGCGGTTCTTACGAAAGTGAATTCGAAAGGAAGAGAAAGCGAACGGATATACCGGGTTTTCGTAGGTATTTTTGTATCGCGAATCGTTCGTGACGCTCACCTTCTCTTCGGAGACCTCGAGGGATTTCAAGTTGTTGCCAACCACGCGTAATTCCTCTTCCAGCTCGACGATCTTCCTGCAAAACAAATTGACGGTTACAACGAATCTCGGCTACCTGTTCAGTTCCTACCTGAGCGTGTTTTCTGTTGGAAGGACGAACACTTGGGTCATTTTATTTTTACTCTCAAAATTATACCCTTACACACACAATCTTATTTCCAATTCCAAGTTGTGGACATATTTTTAGACACAGAGCATTTTAAAAATAAGCAACCAAAAATTTTCTAATCTAGAATACAAATTCTTTTAGAATTGAAGTTTAAATTAAAGAAGAAAGTTTAAACTTACTTGATCACAAGGGAATATAACTATAATATTATTATAACATTCTCTCGATTCTTCAAGCTATCAATGGCTGTAAATTTATTTTCGAAGAATAAAATTCTAGCATAATATACAATTATTAAATATTATACATTAAATATAAAATATTTGTATATTATACTAGAATTTTAATCTTCGAAAATAAATTTACAGCTATTGATAGCTTGAAGAATCGAGAGAATGTTATAATAATATTATAATTATATAACAATATACAAATATTAAATATTTGTATATTACTAATTCTAGTAAATATTAAATATAAGGATATAGAAATTGAAAATTAAGAACAAGAACTAAATTAGATAAAAAGAGATTCTCGAAGAACGCTTGTAATAATTAAGATATCGAAGGTTGGCAATATTTTTAACATTTAGTCGACCAGTGTTCGTCCGCGTCAGACAAGCGTAGAGTTGAAGAAGAAACAGGGAGGACAACTAGTCATGCACAAACTGAACCACCTACCCTTCCGACAGTTCAGCCTTCTCCTCGGCGCGCTCGAGATCCTGTTCCACCATGACTAGTTTTCTGGCAACCTGTGATCAACAGCCACACGTGTCATGCGAAAAAGCAAGGATATGAGGACTTGAAAAAAAAAAACAAAACGAAAAAGTACAAAACAAAAATTGTATGTAACGCATGCAAACGCCCCAAGGGTTCTGGGTTCTGCTCCTCCCATCCTCGATCAGCCTGCTGCAGAAACGTGGCACTGAACTTCCTCAAATAAACCATTCAATAAACCTGTATTGGCTATCCAAGAGAATGGATGAGAAGAACATAAGATACAGGAAAAACGTAGCTAAACTATCTTTTTATATATTTAAATTGTGGTTATTAATCTGTTTCGTACGAATTCATTCTCTTGGATTTAAGGGACCGAAAGGAAATCTTTATCACGGAGTTTGACTACTTGAAATATTTATGTTCGGTGTGCAGCCCAATTTTAAATAATATATTGTGATGGAAATTTATTTTATTACACGACGTTTCGATTCTCGATTTGATGATCTCATCAGAGGTTGCAATAAATGTATTAACTTACGGATGAATTTAAAAATTAAAATTGTGTATATACAAATATGTTTTTCACATACTGTATCGTCTTTTTAAAAAATCAAACTTAATTTAGTCGATAAATTTTTATCAATTATTTTGAACATAAAAACTCGCATAAAAAGACTTCATAAACTGACCAGAAATTGATTCGAAACTTATGTATTTATAATTAAATACATAATAAATTACAAAAATAACACTTTTGATTCCCCTCAAAAAAGGCGCTGAAAATTTCACCGAATGAATTTTTCTTAATATTAATTCCACGGAGCGTCTCCAAGCTCCGATTTCCTTTCGGTGGCGAACAAACGTAACGGAACTCGTTAGCGACAACGAAGAGCGTCGAGTTGGCAAAACAAAAGGGTTGCACGCTTGTTTTTAGGCACATCCATACACGTGGTACGTTATTGTCGTCGAGAAAGGAGGGTGAAGGCGCGACGGAAAAGATAAAAGGAGAAGAAAACTCGTTTGGCACTCGGGGGTGGGTGGCGTGGGCGTACAAAGGGGAACTGTTTCTTTTGAAAAACGGATGCTTACGACTCTCCGGCCTCGGCACGTTCCTCGGCGCGTTCTAGATCGGCTTCAACCATGGCCAATTTACGGGCGACCTGTATAAACGACACATACACACGGTTTCTCCTTATGTTTCCGTTTCGTTTCTCTCTGACACCTTTAGCTCTCATTCTCTCTCGCGTTCGTCCGGGCCAGCATCTGGGCCAAGATCGACGATCCCGCGTCGATCTTGCCACCGCTGGCGACGTCGATCCATGGCTGGAAGAGTTCGCCATCCTCGACATTCCTGTTTCCTCTACGCTCGATTCAAGTTTTTCCACGACCTTTGGAAACGACTCTATTCGCGGTCAACGACGGTTCATCGGAAACGGAGCATTCGATCGTTTTTTTTTGCGATGGAAATACGAAGATCCACAAGGGGATGTTAACGAATTTGGAACTTTTACAAATTTTTAAAACGCTCTGTGTAAGTGTACTAAACAGTATATTTGTACAAATAAAAAGGGGATGTTGACAAATTTAGAAATTTTACAAATTTTTGAAACGCTCTATGTAAGTGTACCAAGTAGTATACATATTTGTACGAATAAAAATTGATCGTTTTGATTATTTTATGAAAGATTTGCTTCGCGAAAGCATTCTGAGTTTGTTTTAATTTTTAATAATTTTCTCTTGAATAGAAATAAATTTTTTCATTCAACGATCATTATGTCGTTTTAGGAGAAAAGATTGATATTATCTCATATTGTATAACTTGAATAATAATGGTTGAAGTAAATTTTGTTAGATGATTTTCTTTATAATAATTGAACTCTACTGATATTAATTATAGGCATTCGCTTTATTAAATTATGAACGTAGACATCAAATATCTTGTGACCTTTAGACTCTAAAAATATCTGATACCTTCAATGAGTCTCATTATCTAAAATTATCGTACTCTTGTAAGTGAAATCAAAATACATTTAATTCGTTTAATATATTAATATGTTTTTAAAAATAGAATCGACAGTATCCGTGTAATTATAAAAGAGGTCGTGGCTATAAACAGTATTCTAAAGCGTTAAAAAATCATAATTAATGATCAAGAAACTAAAATAAAATAAATACATTTTGCATGTTTATAATGAACACTACTGTTGTATCATTCATTTGCTCAATTATTAGACTGTGAATGTTATGCATTTATGGAGTATGCAAATATGACAAATAACTGTAAAACTCATGCAGAATGTGAAATTCCAGCTAAAACATTAATATCATTGGTATTCGTTTATGAAATATTTATCTGCATATGTTTCTCATATTAACCGTATTGTAAATGTAATAAAATTTAGTCTAGTTATTAATATACTGACACAATCTAATAACCAAATAGACTACACATTTTATTCAAATAAATTTTAAATATCACTGTTTGTGCTGTGGTGTGTGTTTATATAATTCTTATGTAGAATCTAGTTTTAATTGTCGATCGATTTTTTAAAAATAGTTTGGATTAAAAATCAAATAGAAACAGAGTCCAAGTGTTGTGTGACTGAAAAAGTTTTGGAAAAGCTGGCCTAGAACAGTTTTCGTATCTTCCATCGCACGAAGATAACTCAGTGTTCCATTTCTGCAGAATTATTGCGTCATTTAAAGAATTCGATAATCGAGTTTTCACAGACAACGTTCGTCCTTTCATTACGATTGTTTCAATTTCTGGAATACAGGACGTTTATCTATTTGCGAAAATAAGAAAAAAGTCAAAAATAACGAAATTTCGTTTAAGGCTTCTTTACTTTTCAGCCTATAAAAATTTTATTGCAATAAAGGAAAGTTTCATATTTTCAAAATTGTTCTGTGGAAAATAAAGGTTACTTATAGAATAGAATTTGTAACTAAATCTTAAAGAGAATTAAATTCTAATAAAAAAAATTACATCAAACTTTGCTCTATCTTCTTCAACCCACTGTAATAAATATAACTCTGAAGTTACATACTTCTTATCTACATTTTTTAAATATGATTTAATTATACCTATTAATTGTGGTTTAAAAAGCAATAGAATAGCAATATAAAAATCAGAATACAATTTTATATTATCTCACTCTGGAGGTGGGTACAATTTAAAATTTATGCTTAAGGAAATTTACATTTCAATTTATATCTCAATGTTTACGGTCGTATTTTTTTCAGAAACGAAATAAATATTGTGTTGCAGAGGGTCGTCGAAGAAGAAATAAAATTAATTTATTTCCAGAATATTTTCAGCAATTATAAAATAACTCGAACAGAAAGCTTCAAAGGTAACATGGTCATTTTTAATTTGTTACTTTGGCATGTAGAATCGCCCTTTAGAAGATTGCCTACTTGTAGGTAAATACCTTGTATATTCCATCGCAAACATCTCGTAATGGACGGGCCTCGTCTCGCTCGGTTAAGGGGTTAATCGTATTCCGCGTTCTTACGCGCAACTGCGCATCCCGTTCGCGATGGAATCGCAAATATTGAACCAGTGGAACACTAACCGCGAACCGAGCTTTGTTAAACCATACGAGATTGCATAACGGCCGAGACGACTTTGAAACGCGTTGAGGCGAAGCTCGAATCGATGGACCAACTTCCAACATCCTCGACGCTCCGAGAAATCATCAAATAGAACTCGAGGCTAAGCGCGAATGACGGCCACTGGCAGCCAAAATGATTAACTTTCGAACAACGAAAGATAAAACATCGTTCAGAAAAAAAAAAATTAGAATTTCAATAACAGAACGTACGGGGAAATGTCTGACCAGTTTGTGCGAAACTTTGGTTACATTTTGTAAAAATTGTATTTGCTAAAGAGTCTAAATTAAATTAATCTTTGAAGGAGAAATATTACTAAAAATAAATCTTATTTTATGGTTCGTGAGATAAATTTCTATTCGTTTATAATATGTACAATTTTACTTTGAATAAAAGTATAAAAACAAAATGCTTTCAAAAACAAATTGCTTGAGCGAGAGCTTCGCACATGTAGGGTGTCCACGCTAAAGTGTGACAGTCGCGATATTTCAATAACTATTGATGATACGAAAAAATTGTTTATATGAAAATTGCAGGATAAAATAGGATCTTTATTTTAGCGTAAACGAAAATGTTGTTTATATTATTAATTTCAAAGATACGATGGTGAAGTTTCGTTTTTTAAACGGAACTATGTATTTTTTTTTTTGGCTCATGCGATAATGTTTTTCAAGACGAATTCATTAACTTGCAATTTATTCGCCCGATTTTTATTAGTTTTCAAGATATAACACTTGGAAATTTACTGATTTTCAGCGGAGACGTCTCGGCTTGAGTGGCAAGTCATAAAAGCGATCTTACTGTGCCTGTTGAAACCGATAGCAAGGGTCTACGCTCGGAACAGCAGGTCCGAAAAGTAAGAAACATGGAAAGTATTGCCCATCACGGTCCAAGTTTTCCGCATCGAGGATGGAGCCGTTAATAATTTGGATGGTTAATATTTTCCATGTTTCTTACTCTTCGAGCCTGCCGTTCCAAGCTAGACCCTTGCTATCGGTTACAACAGGCAGAGTCAAACAGCGCAACAATAGAACCGCTTTTATGACTTACCACTCAAGCCGAGACGTCTCCGCTGAAAATCAGTAAATTTCTAAGCGTTATATTTTGAAAACTAATAAAAATCGGGTGAATAAATTAGTAAATGAATTCGTCTTGGAAAACACTATCGCATGATCCAAAAAAAAAATATATACCATCGTATCTTTGAAATTAATAATATAAACAAAATTTTCGTTTACGCCAAAATAAAGATCCTATTTTATCTTGCAATTTTCTTATAAATAATTTTTTCATAGTTATTGAAATATCGCGACTGTCACACTTTAGCGTGGACACCCGTATAGTCACCTATATCGTATCGTAGAATATCTTAAAACTAATGTTTTTAATGAAAAGGGATGCTACTATTGGGCTTTTTTGAAAGTCTTACTGTCACACCAAAGGTTTGTTACAAAAATTAAAAGAGTATTTGTAATAACAAGAACTTATAACATTATTTTAACAAAACAGACATTTTCATATATGACAAAAAAAGTGACCGCCTTAGAATTTGTTTATTGTAGCAAACCTTTGGTGTGACAATAATTTTAAGAAAAAATCCAATAATAGGATCTTTTTTCATTAAAAACATTAGTTTTAAGATATTCTATAGGATAAGATAAGATATAGGATGGTCACTTTATTATGCCGGTCACTGTATTAACACGTTCACTGCCAAATCAAAACCGTATAATATTCTGAAAAAGTAAAATTTTGATTTTAGGTCATTGTAGGCTACATAACCTAAAATTTGTTTCAGCACTTACTTTCGTAATCTAGTTAAAATTCACAAATTCTATTCAAATTTATTTCCCTCAACGTCTTAACTTAAGAATGAATTTTTCTAGTATCATAATAGTAAATCCTGTCACCCATATATGGGTGACATGGCAGTCAAAGTGTTAACCTGGCGCTGAACGCGTTGAATAAAAATTTGAATTTTAATCGAGACTTTTCGTACGCTCTTAAAGCGTTTCGAAGGACAGAATGAAATATTTTAAGAGGGGAAATTTACCGGTTCAATATCTCTTGTTCGAATAAAATTTTGCTCTTCCCTGCTCGCGTGGTCGGATAACATTTATCGCGGTACTCTTCCAGCCGAGGAGCGAATCTCGTAAAAAGGACCGAGCGAACAGATAAGAACGCGAGCGATCATGCTGCGTTCTCGAGTGTCGCCGATCGGCACGAACGTACGGAAATCGTTCGCCCGGCGACTGTGGCCGCCGTAGAAAAATCGACCAAGGAATTCGCTCCGTCCTCGGAATCAATAGTAAAACGGAATTGCCCTTTCGTTTGTCTACGGCGACCTTTTCCGTTCTACGCATGCAACGAACTCCAACCAACGAACGACCGTGACGCAACCCCATCGCAAAAATGGCTTCCCCCGTCGCTATCTTCGCGCGAACATTGACTTTTCGCTTAATAATTAATTACGGTCGACACGCTGTGCGTTTCGAACGCAGCTTCTTTTGAAATACGATTATCAACCCCTTTTTTTCGTTGAGCATATATTGACGAAAAACTTAAAATGCTACATGATAATTTCATAGCCTGAGGACACTAGTTTTATATAAAAACTATTTTTTAATTCCCATACAATGAATTATTTTCGTAGATCAATGGATTTTTTGCACGCAAATAAATAAATAAAAATAGATACTAGACACGATTTAAAAATTGAAGAAAATATAAAAATACAGAAACAGAGTTCTCTTTTCATACATCGTTAATAATTAATAATTTAATTCCAACCTTAAAAAAAATGACTTTACAAAATGGCTGACATACGTAATTTATCCACCAACGATAACTCCAAAAATCATATTTAATTAGCTTGAACTGCTCCATGCCCAAGGGGTTAATATATTCGAGTTCTCGTTTCCCCGAATGACATCGAAGATAAGCGTTTGAAACGAACCCGCGCCATATGTTCAAAGGACCGTCTTCACCGACGAGTTATCGCCATTGATCCCCGGAATAAATTTATTCGACGATTTGCGTGACGGTCGCGCGTTAATAAACAGAGGGTGAAAGATGAGTGATTACTGCATTGAAACAGAGGAAAAATGTTGTTAGGGCTCGCCACTGTTGATCCGAGCTTCTGGAATAATTGTTATGCGGTTAGATCGTTAGGACAAGCGAGGTTCGCCAGAATCGTGGGGGATTCTGACGTTTCACTGCAATCAGACATTAGTTAACGACACACTGTGATTAGTCTAGATAAACCACGATTAATACAACAGATTCGTTACTAGGATCGTTTTACTGACGCGTCGAAGTTACAAAGATGTTCTCTGTGAAATCGGAGGGCTGTAATACAGCATCGATTTGAAGCAAACGCGCTGTCGAGTGGCATGAAATCGTTCGGTTTTCACGTCGAGGAACTTTCTTTTCTGCCCGTCTAATACTATACCGAGTCGTATTAATGTTACGCGCGACTCGGACCGTGATCCGTTCGTGCTTGTCGTTGCGTTTTCACAACGTGTTTTGCATGCCAGGAAACTTTCCTGGCATATTGTAATTTTATTCGCCAAAGCGAACTCCTCCGTAACAATTACCGCACCGGTTCGAATTCTTCGTTTAATACGAAGCTTCGAACGGGCCGTAATAACAGAAGAAGCAGAATCGTTCCGCGAGCATTATTTAACTTCCCTGCCGATTTCGTTCAATAAACTCGAAATTATTTTCATACAGTATTTAAAATGATATTTAAAAGTAGAATTAAATTTCGTTTTTAGACAATTGGAAACTGGCATACCAAGAATTTGTCGTGGAATTTAGTTTTGCAGACTAGTTAAAATTCAAGGGCCCTACCTAGCTTTATTTTCTTTGACATCTAATCTTGGGAATTAATTTTTTTAACTCCTTGGTAAAAAGTCGTGTCGCCCGTACGTGGATGACGTGACAATCAATGTGTTAAATCTCAGATCTCCTTTAACAGTTCCATAACTAATTTTTTGGGGAAGCAATACTACTCCCATATAACTCCCAGCAATTTTGACACTGGCAGATTTGCACTATTTTTCGAGCAAATTAAAAATTACTAATTTCTTACGAGACTTATAATATTTTTATTCAGAGAGCACATTTAGTATTAAATTCCCCAGAGTTTTCCATTTTAATTTTTTATCTATGATTATTTTACAATTTTCTGAAACACTGCAACGAATCAGATATCTAATTTGCCTACCTTTCCTTCTACAACAGTCGCTGAGCACGGTTTTACTCGTTTATTTTGCGAAGTACTCGAATCGACTCGGGAGATTTGTGGTGATTAAAGGGTTGAAAAGTACGTTTACCAAAAAAAAAAAAATCTTTGTAACTTCAACGCAAACACGCGACACCACCTACCAGAACAGATGGATTTACGTGTCGGAACATTTTCAGAGCTACGAGCACGTCCCGAATTCCAGCAAAGCAAAAATAGAGTCTTTGGACAAAAAGCAGCACCATTGTTGCAACGAGACCCGCGACGAGCCTCGTTTCCGTATCACAACACAAAACCAACAATTCGCGGGGACAGTTTCCGGTTAAGACGGACCGAACACGCGGACCCACAACATACAAATTCACCGGTGACCGACGATCGATAGACGATTCCGTGCGATTTTTTTTTTCAACTTTATCGAACGAACTGAATTTCTTTATTATTATTTTTTCTATTTTTTTTCCTCTCTCTTTTTCCTACGAAACTGGCACTTGTGAAACTTATTACTCTCGTTCCAACAAACACTTTGGAAATCACAGATATACAGCGGTCCTACGCGAAGTCGCGCTCAAAACACGTGACACAGTTATTCATACGCGCGTATCACCACTTTCTCCCGCCCCCCTCCCTTAAACTCTACTATATTTATGTATCCGGATCTTTTTCTCATTTATTTCCCTTTTATCCGAATGCTACATTACGCGAACACTGCACTTCTTACCCGTCGATCAATGCACTTATACTCGACGAAATCACAGACGATTGCTATTATACTCACGATTTTTTTTTTTTTACCCTTTATAACGTTTCCTCCATCGAAACACTTTTATCGAAATAAGCGCGAACTCTTATTCCTCCCTCTTGACGAATTGGGGGAGCCTTCAATCGAATATTGCCAATATTAAATATTACTCGAGAACGATCGTTGTTAGCCGATTTTACGCGATGGATTTCGATCGAGACGCGTTCGAGCAGAGATATACCGGGTGGGCCACGGCGGTTTCGAGCACACAGAGAGAAGACAGAGAGTTACGGGGTTAGGCACTATCTCGACTATCGACTAGGAACCATCGTCATCGTCGTGATCGTTATTTTTATCGTTATCATTGTCACTGCAGCCATCACGCTTGACAGTCGTGGGCTCGCGAACCTCATCGTATTTCTTGTCGGCCTCTTCAGCGAGGAACCTGGCCTCCTTCAGCTGATTCTCGAGGGCGTCCATACGCTCTTCGTCGGCCAAGCTGCGATTCTCGAGAATCTTGCGGGCTCTTTAATAATTACCACAAAGAATCGGGATTAACATACTTTACGAATCAAACGGTTCGCTGTAGGAGAATTCGAGAAACTTAGACTAAAATGGCGACCGGTGTTCCCCACTGCGACGACGCTGCTCTGCTACCGATGTTCCTGGAAACGATGCACCCGCAGTGGCGAATTAACGAGACCTCTTGACGAGTCTGGGTCCATTCAAAAATTATTATTTTTTTTATATACGAATTTCACGTCCATTACAATTTATATAGCGTGGTTCGCGCATTTTTAATTTGTATTTTAGACGATGCAACCAATTTTCCAAAATTCCATACTTGCTCAGATTAACACTAGAGCTACCGATAATTAAGACGAAGCTATTCCCACCAAAATCGGTCAAAATAACTGATCTTTCAAAAATACGTAATGACAGAATATTTTTATATTCATTGATTTATTACTTTCTTACAAAACTAACTCCGTAATATGGAATTATAATAACAACTATAATAATAATGACAATAAATATAATGAATATTTGGTAATAAAAATATTAACATAAATTTCCATTAACATGAAATAGGAAGTTTTAAATAAAATTGTAAAACCAGTCATTTCGACTGGTATGGTAGTTCTAGTGTTGATGAATTGAGTGTTTTATTTTACAAACAATTTAAATTTTTCAATAACTGGTAAACCATTATACATTTTAATAGAATGGAATTGTTGATCGTGGAATTTAAAATTTGAACTTTCGAGAGTCTTTAGGTATTTTTATCCGTTCGTCGAGAAGGAAGGACCGTTGAAAAAAATTGCAGATCAGACCCTGGTTCGTCGAGAAGGTCGCAGATTCGCCCCTGAAGGGTTTGCCGACCAGCAAAAAGAAATGGTCGTTTTTCGTTGGAGCGTGACCCACCTCCTCGTATTTTTTATCCGCCTCCTCGGCGATCAGTTTAGCCTGTGCTAGCTGCTGCTCCAACAAGGATACCCGGTCATCCTCCATATTGGTACGGTTTTCGAGTGCCTTGCGTATCCTAGCGATCGATTATCATTCGACATTTAGATTTCGTTTGGTCGCCGTTGAAAGAAAGATTATCGAAACGCGTAAAAGAGTCTTGGCAACTCTGCGACATTATAACTTCCGGTTCGATTGCAATTCCATTATTTTCACTCGAAATTTATAGAAAGCAAAACATTAATTTTAAACGATTTTTTAGATAGGATCGTTGGATTTTTGATAAAAAGAGTTTAAATTGACGAGAATAAAATTTGCGTTTGCGTACTGTTGGTAACATATCGCGTGGGCACGTTCACCGTGTACAGGTGACCCCGTGGAGGTGAACGCTATGAATGGAGAAAGTTCTAACGACCTTCCAACTTGGTAGCTACTTCCGTAAAACAAACTTTCTGACCCGTACAGGTTAGATAAGATACAAGCTTGTTCCCCAGGGAATAAAATGTCGATAAAATATCGTTTCCAGCGCGAGATTCGCGAATCCTTCGCTGGCTATCGCGAAAAGCCACGAACGCGTCATTCTGTTATCAACAGCGATAAATCGCCTATCCGCTACCTTACGAGTGCGCGTGCGATCGCAATCGCTCTGAAGTGTAGAGTGATTCTCAAGATGCGGGAAGTATTGCAAAAAGAATAAGTTCAAGACTAAAAACCCAACGAAGGAAGTTCAAATATGTATGAAATTTTAGAGATTAGAGAAAAATTTCAATTTATAAAATTAAATATTTCACAACAGATGCAAATTCCTATACTATATTATGTATTTAAAATAATACAATCGGTAATAAAATTAACGATTTACTTGATTATTCTAGTTATCAGATGTTGGCTGATAAAATTTACCCCATCTTATTGTCATTTTTCATTTAAAAATTTGTTGTATAAGATTACAATGCTATTATTTGTTCTTTCCTTTTGTTATTAGATACTTGAGAATATTGTCGAATAGAATATATATGCAATAAATATTAATTTTGGTTGAGTCTACCAGTGTTCATTTTGAATTCTATTAAAATAAATAAATAGTAAAATGCAGAAATGGTTGTAACTCGAAAAGATGTTCATAAATTTTTTCCCCATAGTCTTTGTAGCTTGAATTCACCTTGCAATGCTTTCAATTGTTAAGAACCATTCTATACATTATTTCGATCTGCAAAGTCACGATTGCGGTTATCGATAATTCTTATCAAATAACAAGATTTCTGGAAAAGCAATCACGGAGTTCTTTCAACGTCGAAAGTTTATTTCTAAGTGAAATTATTTCAATTGAAATTCGAGCGAAAGAGCGTTAAAGTTTTCCATTGGTGTATCAGAATTACTGTTCCCATCGAATTGCAATAAATTATATAATTCATCGACTGATATCGAGTTTAGTAATCATACGATGTTCGATCGCGTCATTTTGTAATTAAACACCCACTTTACGCGCGCTGCGTGGTGAAAACGCGTACTCTATGAAATTACAGTAATTGCTATTCTTGCTTCTAGCCTTATATTTCTCTGCGATTGTTCAATTATTAGATAAATGGACGTGACGTGACCCAAAAAGCTTAACTCCACGAAATAAAAATAGAGAAAATTCATGATACTTTAAAGAATGATTTTAAAAATTTTCCTTGCGATTATAAACAGAAAAAGAATTGGAGTTTTGTGTTTTGGCTCGTGACGATAGAAAAATAAATTGTTCGTTTAAAGATAGATTTGATTTCATAAAATACTCGCTCTTTCGACTCGATATTCATTGAACACCCAGTGTTAGCGTAGATTCCAGTCTTTTCTTTGGGGAAAATTAATGTCGGTGCTTGAAATTATTGCAAAAGAATATTGATCAATATTAATAGTTTACTATAAAGTCTAGTAATGGGAAACTAATATGTTCTCTAATTAGATATTTCGTAACAATACTACTATTCTAGACGAATCAAATTTTTATTTAGTCCTTAATATAATTTCTTTTAATTTACCAAAACATGATCTAAATATTTTGAGCAATGTATACATATATGCAAGATGTTTGGCAACAGGTGTCAGAAACTTGAAGGCACAATTCCACGTACCAAAATAAAATAAACTTCAAACACAATTTTACCATTTTCTATTTTTGTCACATAAAATCATCCCTTAAAGTTTCTGACACTTGTTGTCCAACACCCTGTACAACTATACACTTATTAAAAACCTCTAGGTCCAGTATTAAGCACCAACTTAATTACTAAAATCGATTTAATCCTCTGGAACTTGAAATTTAAATAAACTGTAATTGTAAAATGTATAATATATTGAAAAAGATGATTCCATACTTTCATAACTATAAATACACTTATAAAATACCATCTACAACTTTATACATATATTATAATCAAATCCCTAAGGATTAATAGCTCGATAATTGAAAGCATATCTTTTGCAATAATTTCGAGGAAAGTTCCGAGTAAGAACTACTCTGAAACCGACGGTTTAAATGTCCCACATTGAATCTCTTTAATCGCGCTGGGCAGATAATAGCAGATATGAACGCGAACGAAAATTGCATTATTTATGGTGCAACGAGAACGCTTAATAAACGTTTGCTCCCTCGGGGGGAACTGCAACCTTCGATGATTGTTTAATTTAAAACTCTAACCATGAACTTGCCCACATCGACCAAACGAGAACTCAACTTTCACTGAATCGATAAATCCCACGAGGGCTATTATCTGCCCATTGAGTAAAACAGCTTACTCTACGATGTGAGTGAAGTGTTTCTTTTTTTTATAAATATCCATTAAGGTTAGCGTATTGGTTAATGGCTCATCGAACGGATATTTATAAAAACTACGCAGCCGTTGAAGAGAAATAAAAAACATCGTTTACCGTTCGCTCTCATCTGCTGCCTGCGACGCCTCTGCTAATTTAGCAGTGGCTGTCGCGAGGCGTTCCTCTGATCTCTCGAGGTCTTCCTCCAGCAGCTGGATGCGACGATTCAGAGCTGCAACTTCGGATTCAGCCTGCAAAACAAGAAAGGAGAACCGTTTTTAGAATTCAGAATTCTTCTTAACTTATTAACTACCAAAAGCTTAGGTCACCATTTTTATAGAATTCTATAAATCTCAGTCCATCTACGGTAGATTTATCTAATACATATTTAAAAATAACAATTATGCACCACATAGTGTAAATGAATAATGAAAATATCGACTTCATTAATTTTTAAATAAAATAAACAGAGTCGTTTTAACTTATTAACTGTTAAATCTGCAGGTCGCCATTTTTATAAAGTACTGTAGATTTCAGTCTACATCTTCGGTAGAGTTATCCAATACATATTTTTAAAATAACAATTATACACCACGTAGTACAAATGAATAATAAAAATATCAACATTATATACGTGTTTTTAATTAGCCTAAGAAACGTAATTTTAAGATTGTAAACACTGTAGTGTGTACAGAAATATTTTTACATTTAACCATCACACTGACAAATAACATTTGTACATCATTTTTAAATAATTAAGTATATTTTTATTCAATTGTCTTATTAAAGGGAATCAATAAACTCGAGTATATTTATACCGTATTATTTTAATTATTTATACTATCAATTCGTATTCATTAAAGCTCTAAATAAGGGTTGAACATTATTATTAAATTATTATTAAATTATGTATGCTCACTATAATATTTGTTTTGAATACAACGAATAAAATTTACTCCAACGAGAATCAGTATTTAATAAACAAAAACATAATAAATAGATCTGTATAGTGAAACAATTCTACAATATTAAAAGGGGAAAAGAATTTGTTCAACCTGTCTGCATTCAATGACTAAAAATAAACAAAATCTTAGAATTAATTGGCTCTGTAATCGAATTTCCTCACTTCGTTATACGAAAATAGAAACGAACAAAATTAATAAATTACTGAAAAACCTGGAGTTCCATGAGAAATATTGCTATATAAAATTAAAGAGACTGAAGAAGTTAAAAGCATGATACCGAATCCATGTAATTATACATTATATCTCGAGTACCTTAGATAATGTTAACAGGATTCAGGATTACTGATACAGTATCAGAAATGAGTCAGTATGAGTAATTAGGCCAATGATAAAACTGGTTGCAACATTTTGAAACATAATACCAAGGTATAATTCATACTCTCGAAACTCAAGGAAGTCTCAAACCCTATCTACGTCCGGTTTCAAGCTTCTGGATACAAACCATATCGTTTTGAAAAATTGTGGTGATCTCATGATGCGACTCATCAAATATTTAGTATTTGATAAAAAGGCTGTAGAAACATATTTCAAAATTTCTATACCATTGCATCTTGATTAAAGATTTGGTATTCTATAGCTTTTGTGGGTGTTTCAAGAGATACTTAACGAAGTATCGAATTCTAAGTGCACGTGTTTTTTTTTGTTTCGTATTTTATTTTATGCAAATATTTTGTATTTGTGATCCTAGATATTGGATATTGGATTAAGAAGTATCGAATCCAAGATATACGTGTTTTCTTTGTTTCATATTTTGTTTGATACAAGAATTTTGTATTTGTGATCCTATAATACAAATTCACCGAATCGAGTATTCATTTTATCGCGTTCGGGGGCATGTTTCAAGAGAATCGAGTATTTATTTTATCGCGAAAACAAGATGCACGTGTTTTCTTTGTTTTATATTTTGTATTATGTAGTCAAGAATTTTTCATTTGTGATTCCACGATACAAATTTACCGAATTCAGTATTTACATATAAAAAAAAGAGATTGTTTAGAATTAAAACGTGCGACACGTGATTAACATTCAACGGAACGGAACACTTGTCACGAGATCCTCAAGGTCTTCGCTACGTTCGCATATCAATGACCCACGGCTTCCTTGAGCTCGTGCTCGTTGCATCAACCGATTTAATTGAATGGGTCACCGAGCGCGTCACCAATTTTCGCAGCATCCGCGCGTTTTTGCACACTTTTTGCATACATTAAACTTCGAAACATTACAATTCGAGTTCCAAAATGGATTATTCGATTCTAGCCACGATCCATTCCCGACGAAAAAAATTTTCAGGGTACTTATCTATCTGGAAACCCTTGACGAAAACAAATTTTTGGTAGACATCTTGGAATCGAATTAAATTGCTTCTCACGAGAAAATTAAAAATTGTCAAATTACAGTAGAATATCGATTATTGTGAGCATTGTTTACACTTTGAAATCTGTATTTGTCTCGCAAATATTAAACGTAAATACTTAATTAAAATTATACGTGTCCGGCCATCCCTGGGAAAAATTTTAATGGGAGATTCTAGAGGCCAAAATAAGACAATAAACAAGAATATCTATTTGTTAACCGAGGCTCCGTTAAAAAGTTATTAAAAAATTAAATTAAAAAACTTCAAATCATTAACGGAAAAAATATTTCGATTGCAGGGCTCAATTACAATCATTTTTTGTGAATAGACATACCCCCGAAATCCTACTCACTTTCGAGAAAAAAATTCGAGTAGATGGTGAAATTTGTTTAGCGAAAAAAAAAAGTTCAAATCATTCTAAAAAAATTATTTTCGGTTGAGGAGGTCAATTACAATCATTTTTGGTGAATAGACATACCCCCAAAATCGTACGTACTTTCGAGAAAAAAAATTCTTTACCGAAACTATACTGCGTGGCCGGAAATGTTTCTATAATTTTTATAGAAGCCTCAATGAGCAAATTAGTATGCTTGATTTTCATCTTATTTTGGCCTCTAGAATCTCTCATTAAAATTTTCTCAGGGGTGGCCGAACACCCTGTATATTTAATTTAAATGGTGGTGGAATTGAAAAAGTTTTGGGAAGAGATTGTCGAAATTAAAAATCGTGGTTTGAAAGTATTAGAATTAAGATGAACCATCCTCAGAATAATCAGCGAAGAATATTAAAGACGAATCTTTTCTATTTCGTTGCGATTAACATAATTTGCTATGCTGACAATGACAAACTGACGTAGAAATCGTTTATGTTTACGCCGATGTTAACGAATGTATGAATGTAAACTGCTGCTTGTAAGACCAATAATATAATCTTAATGTATTTACGACATCGTCGAGCACTAATACTACTATTTTAATACATTCTGGAACTGTTTTCTAAAACACGAGCATTTATGTTTAAAACATTTCACCTGAACGTTTTCAGAATTTTTAATTTCACCAGCAGCATACAGTGATTCTTTATTCAATAATTAATCAACTTTCTTTAGGGAATAATATTAAAACTATTACATGATTTGAAACTAAAACCATTTCATTCGAATTAAAAAATTCAGTAAGATTTATTTTTTATTACCTTCAATAAAAACGATACGAAGAATGATTTTAACTTGTGCTGTAATTAGAATAAAATACCATAGAAAGTATATTTTTTTTTTATCGTATACAACACCTTTTTTCAAATTCGAGGATCATCCAGTGTTTGTGGACCACAGTTTGAGAGACACTGGTAATGAAAATTCGCATTTAACGCTCCGCGGATCAAATATCGCGTATGAAAGCCGATTCTGAACAATCTCGGTTAATTAAATTCATAAGGATTTCTATTCTACTCTATGACGTGATCCAGTTGAAGATTGCCTCGGAGTACTTTTTTCAAAACAGCATAGTACGCGAAGTACACTCTGATAAGGAAATTGTATGTTGTTTGGTTTTATTAGATATAACATACGCGACAAATAGTAATCGTATCCTTAGTAAAAATTAATTATAATTAATTTTTTGAATCGGATGTTAATGCCCCAAACATACACCTAAAAACATTTTATTGCTAAGTCATGTTTGTTCCTGAAAATCATACGTGAAATATACTTTAATTTAAAATAAAGTTAAACGTCCTTTCCTTTTACTAATAAATGTTCTATGGCAACAAATATTAGCAGAACGTTTATGAAATTTATATTTACACTGGTCGTGATTTGTAATCTAGTTTAATCCTCATAAGCTTAGTGTCGGTTTAATCTTTTAAGTGACACGCACTTGTAAGGATGCAGTATATCAATATGTTGCGTGCGGTTGTACGTTGATAGGCGTTCAACGCACACGATTAACGAATACGAGTACGGGTATTCGATACACGACGTTGCACGATCAAATTTCTAACACCAGAAGGATCAAAAATTTTTTTCCGGTTGCAGACCTTGGCTACATCCAGAGAAATCGCTTATTCGAAACTATTTAGTAGCATAAATAAAAGAAGATAGACAAATTAGAATCGCTTAAGGTCCTGATTGAGGATCAAACTAAAATTCAAATGAAACCTGAATAAAATATAGCAAATCAAACAAGAGAAAAAACAAATGAAACTCTGTCTTATCAATGTCACTGTAATAGTTATCTAATCGATTCTCGTACTCATCATTTAAAAAATTCCAAGCGAAAGCATATTTCTCATAAGGCTCAGGAAATTGGCGAAACATTAAAGTTATTTAAATTACTGTGGTAAATAATATATATAAAGAAAATACATAAGACCTTTTCTTTTGTCGTCGGGGGTGGATCGACCTCTTTAAAGCCCCGTTACTGATTCTTCCTCACGTTCGTAAATTAAGGTAACATTTTTGTCGACGTAGAAACAATTTTGTCGGTGTATTACGCGGCGCGAAACGAACCGTGAGCCCTTAGAAATGTAAATTGCTGAACGCTCGATTACGCATGTATTCGTATACGGCGTTTCCAGGCCCTTGTCCCCATTAGCAAGCAGCTGCACCTGCGACGATTGTGTACCGAGCGGATAAATCCTAATTCATCGTGCGTGTACGGGACATTACGCGCACTTTTATGCACGTGTTACCGTTTGCCATCCACGTATGAACTTTGCATCCGGACGACACGTCTATTCTTCCTTTGCGCGATGACGTGCGAAAATTGATCGAATACCATCGACAGATTTCGACGCCATTACCTCCAGATCCATTTTTACCTATTTTCCAACCGAGCGTATAACCGGAATTAATAAACCGTGGTTTGAAAAA